AGTCAATCCTTTATTTGAATTTTCTTTTTTCACTACTAAATTCTCTCCCTCATCTTTCCTTTCTACTTTTCCCTGATGTCCTGTCTCTTCTTCTCTCCACCTTTTATTTTAACCTTCCTTTTCTTTCTCTTTCTTCAGTTAATTTCCCCTTTCTTATTTCTCTCCCTTCCCTGATGCCATTTTCCTCATCGTGGTTCTTTTTCTTTCTCTTTCCCCTCTTTGGCCCTCTTTTCCTTCCCCCTCATCACTTTTTATTTTTCTCTCTCTCCCATTCCTTCTGGCAATCTGTCTTTATTTGGCTTTTTTATGGAACCGAAGTTTGTATGATTAAAATTCATGTGGTTTTTGTTATATTGTTTGCATGACAAGGGCTTTCTATTCTAAATGAAACCAAACTTTCTTCAGGAACCCAGCCTGATGCAAATTGAAAAGAGCCATAATTTACTGACTCTCATCTCCTCTGTTCATACAGGCCTAAGCCCCAAATAAAAGACCCCTCAAATATTTCTGGAAGTTCCAATGAGGACCTGAAATGTGTTCATGAGCAAGTCAGTCCTACCAAGGACTGCTACCCTCCGTGCATTCTTGCAGGAGAAGACGTGAGGTGTCTCCAGAGCTGCAGGTGTGCCTGGAGACCAGGGCAGAATGCCTTCCTCTGCCTTGGAAATTATATTGTTATAATGGTCGTCAAGAGCATTTCATGGGCCCCATCCTTTTATAGGGGTTTCAGTAAAGCAGCTCTTTTGGATTATATTTTTGCAGCTTCATTTCTTCATAGGACCCAAACATGAGTTCATGGATCTGTCTCTAGAACATACCCCAGAATGACAGACACTATATTACGCCAGTCACCCTGTCCACCAACAACTCAGCCTTGTTACTGGGTCAGCTCTTTAAGTCTGCTCCTTCTTGCTTTGGAATAAATGTCTCTATCCCAAGAAGCTCCTCAGTCGTTACACAGACTTCTCTTTAGCCTGGCCCATCAGTGGCAGTGCCTGCACACATCTCAGTTCCAACTAAACACAACTTGGCCTCAACCCGGGAGTCCCACCATGTAAGTTTATGAAGCACATGAGTTGAAATCTATATTTCTCTCTAATTAAAAAAGAAAACAAACACAAAAATCATGTTGCTTTCATATTTTGTATCATCTAATAAGGCATAATCATGATTAATTTTGTGAGTTTCAGCATATATTTCATTTAATTTTTTAAATTTAATTTTTTCAGGGTCATCGGTCCTTTCCTGATGAAAATTTTTGCTAATTCTAGAAAATATATTAAGAATAATAATTGTTACAAATTGATAGGCTCTTCTAAAATGTAAATGGGAATGCAGAGGGCTAAGCATAAATATAGTAGGAAAAGAACAAACTGGAAGAATTACACTTCCAAATATCTAGAGTTACTAAAAACTATAGTAATTAAGACAGTAAAGTATTGGTACAAGGGCAGAAAAATAGACCAATGGAACAGAGTCTAGAAACAGACACAAGCATATAGAGTTAGCTGATTTATGATAAAGGTTACATTGCATCAAAGAAGGGGAAAGGATGGTATTTTCTCTTTATCTTAATTTATTTATTTATTTATTTTGGCTGTACTGGGTCTTAGCTGCAGGACGCAGGATCTTTTAGTTGCAGCCTGCAGACTTCTTAGTTGCAGCATGCATGCGGGATCTAGTTCCCTGACCAGGGATCGAACCTGGGCCCCCAGCACTGGGAGCTTGGAGTCTTACCCACTGGACCACCAGATATGGTATTTTCAATGAAAGTTGCTGGATCAATGGGATATTCGTTTGGGAACAAAAAAATGTATCTTTACTCCTTGCGTCACAGCATATATAAAAATTGACTTCAAATATACTGTATATCTAAATGTGAGAATTAAAGTTTTTAGAAGAAAACACAGGAAAATATCTTCGTTATCTTGGGGAGGCACAATTTCTTAAACTAGACACCAAAAAAAAAAAAAAAGTCTAACCATTAAGGTAAAAGGTGATAAATGGAACTACAGGAACTACATTGAAATTAAGAACTTCTCTCGATCAAAAGTCATCACGATTAAGGGTGAAAAGGCAATCCACAGAATAAGATATTTACAGTACATTTTTCAAAAAGGATTTGTATCCTTACTACATAAACTCTTACAAGGCAATTAGAAAAAGGCAGATGGCCAGAAAAGAAAAAGAGGCAAATGATTTGGGCCCATGACTCACTAAAGAGGATATTTAAATGTTAAATGATAATAAACATCTGAGATGTTCAACTTCTTTAGTCATCAGAGAAATGCAAATTAAAAACCATAGTATGATACTACTACACATCCACAAGAACAGCTTAGATGAAAAAGCTACACAAACCAAGTGTTGACAAAAATGTGTAGCAACTAGAACGCTAACTCACAACTGATAGAAGTATGAGTTGGTACAATCGCTTTGGAAAAAATTCTGCCGTAGATGCTAGTTATCTACTGCAGTGTCTACTGAAACAGAACATATGTATATGACCCAGCAACTCTGCTCTTAGGTATATACTTCACAGAATTGTGTGCATATGTTTACCAAATTAATAAATAAATAACAAGAATGTTCATAGCAGCACCATTCATGAAAGCCAAAAACTGGAAACAACCCAAATATCCATAAACAGTAGGATGGATAAATAACTGGTGGTAAATTCAGACAATGGAATACCATATAACAGTGGGAATTAATGAATGATTGCAATATGCAATAACATGGATGAATCTTACATTTGTAATACTGAGTGAAAGGAGACAGACACAAAAGGGAAAGGGAAAAAAGAGAAATAATCTTCCTACTTTGATAGAAATCTTTCCATTTTGATTCCATTTATACAAAGTTCAAAGAACAAGTGTTAGAAATCAGCACAGTAATTATCCATTGGGGCAATTACTGGAAGGGAGCATGAGAGGGCGTCTGGGATGCTGGTTATTTCCTGCTTGTTGATCTGGGTGCTGGCTACACTGGTGTGCTTGTTTTGTGAAAATTCTTCATGCAGTACACTATACTTTGTATCATTTTGATGTGTATGTTGTACCAGAAAGAAAAGTTTGCTTAAAATAATGAAAATCATTGCACAAAATAAGCTGGAAATATTTGGGTAAAATTATAAGATTGAATGGAGGGCTTCCCTGGTGGCGCAGTGGTTGAGAGTCCGCCTGCCGGTGCGGGGGACGCGGGTTCGTGTCCCGGTCCGGGACGATCCCACATGCCACGGAGCAGCTGGGCCCGTGAGCCATGGCCGCTGAGCCTGTGCGTCCGGAGCCTGTGCTCCGCAACGGGAGACGCCACAAGAGTGAGAGGCCCGTGTACCGCAAAAAAAAAAAAAAAAAAAGATTGAATGGAGATATTTGTGAGTAACATTGTTTATTGCACGAATAAGTCTTTTCAAAAAGAAATTACACAGAAATGGAAGTAGAGCTATGAAGAAAACATCAAAATGATGACTAATAAAGAGTACTGACACACTGCACAGCACATGAAACCATCAACAAAATGAAAAGACAACCTACTGAATGGGAGAATATATTTGCAAATGATGTGACCGATAAGCAGTTGTTATTTGAAATACATAAACAGCTCATACAACTCAATATCAAACAAACAACCCAATCAAAAAATAGGCAGAAGAACTGAATAGACATTTTTCTAAAGAAGACATACAGATAGCCAACAGGCACATGGAAAGATGCTCAACATCGTTAAGTCATCAGAAAATTGCAAATCAGAACCACAATGAGATATCACCTCACACCTGTCAGAATGGCTATCATCAAAAAGACCACAAATAACAAATGTTGGTGAAGATGTGGAGAAAAGAGAACCCTCTTACACTATTGGTGGGAATGCAAATTGGTGCAGCCACCGTGGAAAGCGTTATGGAGGCTACTCAAAAAACTAAAATTAGAACTACCATATGATTCAGCAATCCCACTACTGAATATATATCCCAAGAAAGTGAAAACACTAATTTGAAAAGATAACATGCACCCCAGTGTTCACAGCAGCATTATTTATAATAGCCAAGATGTGGAAGCAACCTGTCCATCAACAGATGAATGGATAAAGATGTGGTATGTGTGTACACACACACACACACACACATATAAAACGGAGTACTACTCAGCCATAGAGAAGAATGACATTTTGCCATTTGCAACAACATGGATGGACCTGCTGGATATTAGGCTTAGTGAAATAAGTCAGAGAAACACAAAAACTGTATGTTATCACTTATATGTGGAATATACAAAATAAAACAAATATAACAAAACAGAAACAGACTCACAGATACAGAGAACAAACTAGTGGTTACCAGTAGGGAAAGGGTAGGGGGGAGGGGCAAGATGGGGGCAGGGATTTAAGAGGTACAAACTACTATGTATAAAATAAATAAGCGGACTTCCCTGGTGGCGCAGTGGTCAAGAATCCTCCTGCCAATGCAGGGGACACAGGTTCGAGCCCTGGTCTGGGGAGATCCCAAGTGCTGCGGAGCAACTAAGCCCATACACCACAACTACTGAGCCTCTGCTTTAGAGCCCACGAGCCACAACTACTGAGCCTGCGTGCCACAACTACTGAAGCCCACATGCCTAGAGCCCGTGCTCCACAACAAGAGAAGACATGACAATGAGAAGCATGCACACTACACTGAAGAGCAGCCCCTGCTGGCCTCAACTACAGAAAGCCTGTGTGCAGCAACAAAGACCCAATGCAGCCAAAAATAAATAAATAAATAAGAAAGAAAGAAAGGTGTCATTATAAAAAAAGTAATAAATAAAGTAAAATAAGTAAGCTACAAGGATATATTGTACAGCACAGGGAATATAACCAATATTTTATAATAACTTTAAAAGGAGTATAATCTATAAAAATTTTGAATCACTATATGATATACATGAAACTAATATAATACTGTAAATCAACTATACCCCAATTAATAAAAAAAGTACTGGAACACTTAAATTTAGCCTTTTTTTAAAATTTAATAGTTTGTTCGGAAGCGACACATCAGAATAGCTTAAAAGGCAACATTACTTTTCATAAAAAATATGTGCAAATATTTCCAAGTGTACATGATTTGATTTTTTTCACTTTTCATATACAATAGTGGAATTTTATCCTCAAGGTTAAAAACATAACAAAAGCTTTAATTTCAAGTAAAATTTCCATTGACAATATAGAATTAGAAGTCTGTTTACTATTCACAAAATGCAGGAAAGAGAAAGTATTACTAGAGTGTGCTCGGGAAACAAGTCAAAGACTGTAGTCTTATACAGCCACAAATGGACCCAAGATTTTACAAAACTCTAGCCTTTAAAATGTAACTTTGATATTTCCTTCAACTAATTAAAAAAAAGAAAAGAGCAGTGCGTATTTCCTCTATTGAACAGAGGTATTCATCCATTTTCTGCAAGACTATTATATTCACTCTTTAGAGATATGATTTGTTGCCATTATAGGCAGGTATTACTATAAAAATGAGATAACATTATAATCCTGGTTATGCTGTACCAAACATAGGGAGAAATCTGTTCCACATCTATTAAAGACAGTATAACCCACGAGCATAAAAGACTATTATAACATCACAATCCACTACAACTCCCTGAAATTCTGGTATGTAGTATGGGGATGGAGGGAGGAAAATAATGCTTTTAGTCAACCAATTTGATATGATCACTAATGATATTCCTGCAGAAGTAGATAGAGACTTTATTTCTGATAGTATTTAAGAAGAAAAACAGAGATAAGACATGCTGCCTTTAGACAGCCAAACACATTTGGGAATTTCACACATCTCTGCCAAAGGTGCGATATCATTCTCTGTCAACTTAAGACATTGCCTCAGTTGAGGACCTGAGTATTTTTCTCTAGAAGTACAACTTCATTCACTCCAGCGTGAAATACACGGGACTAGTCCACAGGACCAAAGCCTAAGTATTATATACAATGCCTAGAAAATTGTTGGCACTCAGAAAAGGTTAAGTAAAAAATATTTTGGGCTTAACATATGGATTTTTAAAAACATATACTTTCAATGTGTGTATTCCAAACCAACTTTTTTCGTTTGATATTGAGTTCATTTAGAATGTTTTGTCTCAATCAGTATATATATGTATATATATACATGTGTATATATATACATATATATATAAGCAGTTCACTTTTTAGATGTTTTTTGGAAGGTATTTAGAATTCAGTTAAAGATCACTTCACATAATGCTAAATTTTTAAAGTAAAACATAAACTTGTTTTAATCACCATGGTCTTATAAACAAAATTGATTTTTTGTTCAAAATAACACAAATTTTATGTTAGATTTTAAATAGACCATACTTAAATATACTCTACACAATGACCATTTCTATAAACTAAGATAAGTTAAAACTGCATTTTTCAACTAAAGATAGTGCCGTATGTTTTACTACATCTTATTTGTGATCCTTGATTATTATATCAAAAAGTGATTTCTATAAACCACAGTAATCTTATCACTTCACTTCTCTGAGTCAGTGTTTCTAAAATGTATCAGCCCAATTCTATAGCTTTTAACTGAACCATTTCCTTTATTCTGAATTCTGGTTACATATCTGGTCACATATAGTAATACTACATTACTAAGTACTAACCAAATTTGCATTCTTAAAACCTTTTTTTGATGCATTTACCAAAGGGAGTTTTTAAAGGCATTTATTGTTAAGTACATTAATAATTATATTTCAACCTTTACTCACTGTGATCAGTTTAGCTCATGGGTATCAAGGTCAGTCAGAAATAGATTTTTCTATAGGATAATCATTCCTGCCTCACCTGCCTGCCCACAGAGCCTGTGTTGGGTGACACTTGCCCCAGCTGCACAGAGGTACACGTGTACCCACATGAACATTGTCAGCAGATCTGTTGTGGAGAACAGCAGCATAATATCCTCAGATCCTGGACATTGCTAAATTTTTTTCTTCACCATTTTGCACATTTTAGAAGTAAGCTACTCATTTTATAAATAAAGCCTAGAAACAATCTTAGTGCTTTTCTTTCAGTGGTTAAGAGGTTAAAAAAAAAATCAAAGATTTAAAAAAATCTAATGGAAAAGAATGAGTGTTTCAAGTTTGAAGAAAATAGTCAATGCAGAAAATATTTGCATAGAATTACGTGGTGGGTAAAATTTGCCTTGCAGTCCTTGCTTAGAGCGACCTCCTGAGCCCAGTTTCAGGAAGCAAGTCTTCGCATAGCCTGTGGAGGCAAAGGGGAAACAGTGTTGATGCAACTGAATTCTCCTTAAGTCTACCTTAACTTTTTTGCAAATATGTTTGTGTAGTGTTGGTTGCTTACATTTACTTAGGTGTATAGCATCACAATAAAAGTAGAGTAAAAACTTAATTTTGTACCTCATCATACTTTAATTGGATGTATTTTAAAAACAATAATTACTATTTCTTGAGTACTTACTATGTACAAGACACTGTTTTATTCCTGCACATGTACCCGTTAATGGTCGCAACTCTGTGAGGTATTATTATTTCTATTTTACAGGAAGAAACTAAAATGAAGACAGGATAAGTAAATTGCCCTAAGCTACCCAGCTGGTAAGTTGCAGAATCAGGGCCAGCACTCAAGTCTGTTTGTTCTAAAGCCCAGGCCCTGAAAACCACTCTAACTGCTTCCCTATCTACAGGAACCCTACCTGAATGATGCTTTTATGTGACATCAAAAATACTTCTAGGGCTTCCCTGGTGGCGCAGTGGTTGAGAGTCCGCCTGTCGATGCAGGGGACACGGGTTCGTGCCCTGGTCCGGGAGGATCCCACATGCCGTGGAGCGGCTGGGCCCATGCGCCATGGCCGCTGAGCCTGCGCGTCCGGAGCCTGTGCTCCGCAGCGGGAGAGGCCACAACAGTGAGAAGCCCGCGTACCGCAAAAAAAAAAAAAAAAAAACCTTCTATATAGTGTGGCAACTTCTTAAGTTCCAGTTTTGATATATGAGTTTTCACTCAACTCAGTTGGCCCTATATCCATAGTCATAAACTACTAAAGCTGGAAGGACTTCACAGCTCAGTAATGAAATTCCTGGCCTCACCAAGCTGATGGGCTAAAATGTGGAACCCCTGATTTTCACTCTACTTAGTGTATTTCTTCCACAAAAATCTTCTCTGCCTGTCATCCTCACTGCCTGATTTTATCATTGGGGTTTGAGTGTTATTCTTTTCAACATTTTTATCAGGACCTGGAATACAGCAAACAAGTCCTGCTTATCCAGATTTGCATAAGGCACCCAGTGGGGTTACATAGTTAATATGCTGGATGATAGATTTAGTATTCAAAACAATGTCAATAAACTGGAACCAGGAAGCTGTAATCTAGCAGAAGAATGTGTAGTTCTGCATTAGGGCCAAAACCAATTATATAAATATAAATGGGGAGCCCAGCTAGACCACAGTTCATGTGAAAATGCCCAAGTCTTTAGTTGACCCCTGCTCAGTAAAAGCAAAGATTTTGATGTAGCTATTATGAAAATAAACCCATTCTTAAGTTGCAGTAATGTAAATATCTTGATGAAATCAAGGTAGGTCATAGTTGACCCCATCTGGGGTTTTATGTCCCCTTCTTGACCAGGGAAGGATTAACAAATTTCATGTCTATGAGGAAGAGTAAAGGGAACTGGAGGAGTCTCTCCCAGGATAGAGCATGTTGGAAACATGAAAGCTGCTCTCAAATATTTAAGGACTGTGCAGAGAAGGCAACCAAAAGGACCTCAGTCCACTGGATGATTATTAGAGAAAGGGTGAATCCAGTTTGTAAGCACAGCTAACACTTGGAGACTTCAACTATGTAGCAAACTCCCTTTGCTGCTAGTTGGCAATGTCTAGAAATGTTCACACGAAAGCTGAGACAACATCCTTAAGGATGGGGTAGGAGAGATTTCTGCATGGCCGAGAATGTGGGGCTGATTTCTAGACATCTTTCAACTTTAAAATTCTTTGATCTTCTTTTGTTGGTCCAATTTTACTGAGTGATGGAGCCACAAAGTTCGGTCAGATACTGTAAGTTTCAGTCAAGTTTCCTAGAAGAGTCTGATGCCCCAATGGCAACAGAAATACACAGAATCAGTCTCTTTTTTAAGCTGTCATCAGTCAGATGAAGAAAAGTCATGAGGTTCCTACTGCTCACATTCTATTTCTGAAGCTTATGAAACTCCTGGTTTAAAAATTTCCTCCATTCACCTTTCTCCTATCTCACTGGCCTTGGGTCTCTGGAAAAGAAGGTATGCGGAGGCTTAGGTATAAAATCAGGACCAATGTGTTGTCTGCTTCCAGTTGCTGATCACGCCTGTATGCCTGGGACAAAAGGTCCCCTCAGGTACTATGTCTTCAAGGGAGAACCCTTGTTTCCCATTTTCCCCTTTCTATCAAGCCATCCTCTTGGTACTTCTAAAAAATTCTTTTCCCTGAATAGTTTTTATCAAATAGTTTTAATACTACAAGTATTATTCTATTTAATCCAAATTATTTTCTTGGAATGAACATAATGATCATACCTCATCTTGGACATCAAGTCCTTCTTCAATCAGCTCTGCTTCCATTAATTCAAGAGGATCTTTACAGTCTTGGATGAGGGTGATCTTGACAAAGAGAACACGGAGAATATTTATTGGAGGTGTAATAGCATTAACCCACCTGATACTTCACTGAAAACGATTTGAAGCTTTGCTGGTGCCTCTCATTTATAATCTACATACTTCAAAATCCTTTTCCACTTTCTTGTCCTTTTATATTTCCCACTTAGAATTCTCCCTATACCATTTTTTTCACATTCAAGTGTGAACTAGTATAGTTCTCCATTGTCTAACCTCCTTTGCAACTTTCTTCCCCAACCTCTGAAGTGTATGCCTCTTAACAAGTCATCCTGTCTGCCTAAATGATTCAGCAGTCAATAGCAGTTTTCTTTCAATGGCCAAGTGAAGCGCACTGGGTACAGCATTGAGCGTGCAATGAATGCCCAGTGAAGGGCTCCTGAGTGATGGCCATAAACAGTCTCAAGTTGAATTGGATGGGAATTAATGTTATTGGAGATGGAAACCAACATCTATGAACCAAGTAGTTGTTCAGGAAAGTTCTGCTTTTTAGCCGTAGTATGTAATTTAATCTTCCACACAGAGGAAACCAGTAACAATCTGGACTTTGTCTTATGCATAAAGGGTATTCCCAAAGCCACTCTAAATGTGTATCAAGGCAAGAGTGACATTTCAGAGGGCTTTTTAGCTACTTTTAATCTCACAAATAAATAACCCAGTTCTTGTTATATGATCTTGTTGTTACTTGTGAGTTAGGAACTTTAAGTTAGATTTTTTTAAAAAAGGTTTATGAGTTTTCAAACCTGAGCATCTTGCATGTAGCGCCTTTTTTTTTTTTTTTTTTTTTTGTATTTAAGATCCACATCCTGGTATTTAGGACTAGTATATTCTCTAGCAGCATTAAGCAGAACAATCTTTCCACTAACAATAGATAAAAAGCATAATGTATTATTGTTTTCCAAATTAGTTTCACTTCAAATATTAACTTCCAATCTACAGTAAGAATCTGCTTATCCCATTCTTAGAAAAAAGGGAAAGCAATTTAAAATATAGTTGTCGGGATTCCCTGGTGGTGCAGTGGTTGAGAGTCCGCCTGCCGATGCAGGGCACACGGGTTCGTGCCCCGGTCCGGGAAGATCCCACATGCCGCGGAGCGGCTGGGCCCGTGAGCCATGGCCGCTGAGCCTGCGCGTCTGGAGCCTGTGCTCCGCAATGGGAGAGGTCACAGCAGTGAGAGGCCTGTGCACCGCAAAAAAAATCAATAAATAAATAAAATAAAATATAGTTGTCTGTGTCACCAGAATAATTATTATTGCTGTTATTTTTATAGGCATTTGTTTTAGTTTCCCAAATTCACAGTGAGAAGGTCCATGAGAGATGAGGTTCTTGTACCAGGCAGTAGGTCCAGCCCAATGACCCACATCAGAATGCTCAACTCTCCTGGGTATTTTACAGGAGAAATGACAAAATAAGGAGGCCTGTGGAAAATCGGGGTCTATCCTGTTTTGTGAGGAATAAACTCTGGGCTGATGCATGGCTTTCATTTTTTTTTTTCTTTTCTTTTTCAAAAATCACTTACGACCTAACGGATCCTATTTAAAGACACTGCTAGGGAATGCCCTGCTGGTCCAGTGGTTAGGACTCCACACTTCCACTGCAGGGGCCACGGGTTTGATCCCTGGTCAGGAACTAAGATCCTGCAAGCCGTGCAGTGCAGCCAAAATATATATATATATAGATATAGATACAGATATAGATAATCAAGAGTTTCCAGACTGCTGAGAATTTAAATGGCATTTAAAAAAATTTTTATTTATTTTTGGCTGCATTGGGTCTTCCTTGCTGCACACGGGCTTCCTCTAGTTGCGGCAAATGTGGGCTACACTTCGTTGCGGTGGGCAGGCTTCTCATTGTGGTGGCTTCTCTTGTTGTGGAGCATGGGCTCTACGCGGGTGAGTTTCAGTAGTTGTGGCACACAGGCTCAGTAGTTGTGGCGCATGGGCTTAGTTGCTCCGTGACATGTGGAATCTTCCCGGGCCAGGGCTCGAACCCATGTCCCTTTCATTGGCAGGCGGATTCTTAACCACTGCACCACCAGGAAAGCCCTAAATTGCATTTTATACACAAATCACAGAAGATCAAAGATTCGGTGGCTATATTCTAAAAAGTCACTATGGCTAATGCCTACTTTTATTAGTAAACCCACACATTATAGAACTAATTGTACTAGCTAATACCAGGTGTTTTCCTATAAACTCTCACATTTAGTCTTCATATGTACCTAGCAAGGTAAATGTTTTTACTCCATTTTACTAATGAGAAAACTAAGGCTCTGAAAAGTTAAGTAGATGCCTTAAAATCCCACCAGGCTGGGATTCAAACCTAGATTTGTGGAATTTTTGCCATTTACAGAAATCCTGGTAGTTTAGGAAAGATACATATGTAGAAAGATTCACTGTTTACCGTTTCTAAAATGGAATCTTGAACCTCTTGGGATTTCACCTGGTTCTGGAGATGGAGGACAGCATCGTGGACAGTCAAAAAGAATATGTCCCTTCTGATGTTATCATTAAAGAAACCACATTTCTCCAGCTTTTCTATCACATGATCTTCAAAAGAAAGAGATAATGTTTAGTTAGTCTCTAGGAAAAGCTATTTTTATAACATCAACCAGTTCTAAGTTTTTGTACCTCCTCCTTTTAATTCTTTTTTCTCATTTCCAAAATGTGATCCTGCTCTAGACAGAGTTTCTTTTCCAGTAGCACATGGAATGCTGATACCATAACTGGTTGTAGTAAATGGTGGTGTTTCCCAGCCACGTCCCTTTTTCCTGTCCTCCAGCAGCTATGAGTCTGGCTGGTGTTCACAGCTGTGCCCTTCTCTGGAGAACTTTCTTTGGCCAGTGGGAGCTGTCTCACCTGAAAAAGCCTGGGAGGTTACACCCCCTCCCTCAGGTGGCCTGCAGCCACGGACTGATTGATCCGGAGGTAAAAGGGCCGGCCAGCCCCCTTCCCCTCAAGGAAGGATAACCATCTGGTGCTTTTCTTGCTGTGTGTTCCCAGTGAAGTCAGACTAAGTAGATTCTGAAGCCATGTCTTTGTCTTCTCCCACTGCCCTATGCTGTTCCCCTCAATCCTTCATAAATTTTCCACTGTACTCTCTCAATAAATCACTTATGCAAGAATCCTTATCTCAGGCTCTGCTCTAGAGAACTCAGCCTAAGCACTAGTATTTTCCTACACACGCTTGTACATAGACAGACACAGACTCATACCCTGGAAGTTCCTCTAGTTCTAAGGGGTCTAAGTCATCTCTAGCTCTGCTCTCTCCATGACAGTTTTTCTTCATTGATCCTGCATTGCTGTCAGGACGTAGGTTTCCATGCATTACCAGCTCTGTGGCACAAACTGGAAGTAATTTTTCTAGGTTCAAAAAGGCCTTCAGAGTGATTATTTAATGGGTAGAGTTTCTGTTTGTGGCAATGAAATTTTTGAAAATAGATAGCTGTGATAAACTTTGGGGCACATGTATCTTTTTGAATTAGTGTTTTCGTTTTTTTCCAGATATATACCCAGGAGTAGAATTGTTGGATCCTATGGTACTTCTATTTTTAGTTTTTTGAGAAACCTGCATACTGTTTTCCACAGTGGCTGCACCAATTTACATTCCCACCAACAGTGTACAAGGGGGCCCTTTTCTCCACATCCTTACCAACATTTTTAATTGTAGACTTTTTAATGATAGAAATTCTGACAGATGTGAGGTGGTATCTCATTGTTGTTTTGATTTACATTTCTCTAATAATTAGCAATGTTGAGCATCTTTTCATGTGCCTGTTAGCCATCTGTATGTCTTCTTTAGAAAAATGTCTGTTCAGGTCTTTTGCCCACTTTTTTATTGGGTTGTTTGGTTTTTTGATATTGAGTTCTATGAGCTGTCTGTATTTTTTTTTCAAATCTTTTTTTATTGAAGTATAGTTGATTTACAATGTTTTAATTTCTGCTGTAAAGTGATTCAGTTATACATATATATACATTCTTTTTTTATATTTTTTCCATTATGGTTTATCACAGAATATTGAATATAGTTCCCTGTGCTATATAGTAGGACCTTGTTTATCCATTCTATATGTAATAGTTCGCATCTGCTAATCCCAAACTCCCAATCCCAAGCCTCCCTCCCCCACCCCCTCTCCCGCTTGGCAACCGCAAGTCTGCTCTCTATGTCTGTGAGTCTGTTTCTGTTTTGTAGATAGGTTCATTTGTGTCATATTTTAGATTCTGCATATAAGTGATATTATATGGTATTTGTCTTTCTCTTTCTGACTTACTTCAATTAGTATGATAATCTGTAAGTCTATCTGTGTTGCTGCAAATGGCATTATTTCATTCTTTTTCATGGCTGAGTAGTATTTCATTGAATATATGTACCACATCTTCTTTATCCATTCATCTGTAAATGGACATTTAGGTTGTTTCCATATCTTGGCTATTGTGAATGGTGCTGCTATGAACATAAGGGTGCATGTATCTTTTTGAATTATAGTTTTGTCCAGATATATGCCCAGGAGTGGGATTGCTGGGTCATATGGCAACTCTAGTTTTTTGAGGAACCTCCACACAGTTTTCCATAGTGGCTGCACCAACTTACATTCTCACCAACAGTGTAGGAGGGTTCCCTTTTTTCCACAGCATCTCCAGCATTTGTTATTTGTAGCTTTCTGTATATTTTGGATATTAACCCCTTGTCAGTCACATCATTTGCAAATATTTCTCCCATTTGGTAGGTTGCCTTTTCATTGTGTTGATGGTTTCCTTTGCTGTGCAAAAGCTTTTAAGGTTAATTAGGTCCTATTTTATTTACAATAGCATGGAAGAAACCCAAGTGCCCGTCAACAGATGATTAGATTAAGATGTGTCATACACATCAGTGTAAAGCAACTATAGTCCAATAAAAAAAAAAGAAGATGTGGCATATATGAAGTGAAATATAACTCAGCCATAAAAAAGAATGAAATTCTGCCACTTGCAGCAACATGAATGGACCTAGGGAATATTATGTTTAGTGAAATAAGTCAGACAGAGAAAGACAAATGCTTTATGATATCACTTGTATGTGGAAACTTAAAAAAATGCAAATGAATGTGTACGCAAAACAGAAACAGACCCGCAGATATAGAAAACAAAACTTGTGGTTGCCAAAAGGGAGGGGAAAGGGAGGAGGGACAAATTAGGGGTATGAGATTAATAGATCAACCTATTTTATACAAGCTACTATGTGTAAAATAGATAAGCAACAAGGACATACTGTATAGCACAGGGAACTATAGCCATTATCTTGTAATAACCTGTTATGGAGTATAATCGGCAAAAATACTAAATCACTAGGCTATATACCTGAAACTAATAAAATGTTGTAAATTAACTAAACTTCAATTAAAAAAAGAAATTTTTGGGCTTCCCTGGTGGCGCAGTGGTTGAGAGTCCGCCTGCCAATGCAGGGGACATGGGTTCGTGCCCCAGTCTGGGAGGATCCCACATGCCACGGGGCGGCTGGGCCCGTGAGCCATGGCCGCTGGGCCTGCACGTCCAGAGCCTGTGCTCCGCGATGGGAGAGGCCACAACAGTGAGAGGCCCGTGTACTGCCAAAAAGAAAAAATAAGAAGAAGAAGAAAAAGAAAATTTTTTAAAACTCAAAAATTAACAACAGCAACAACAACAAAAAATGTGCAGTAAATGTAAAATACACACTGGATCTCAAAGATGTGAACAGAAGCAAGCAGTGCAAAATATCTCAGTAATAAATTTTATACTGACCAAAAAAAAAAACACAAAGGAAAGAAAGAAAAGATAGTTGTGATGATTGCACAACATGGTGAATTACTTAATGCCACTGAATTGTACACTTGAATGTGGCTAAAATGGCAAATTTTATGTTATACATCTTTTACCACAATTAAAATTGTTTTTGAAAAAAAGGCCTTTGGACATCATGTACTCACATTCCAAGGTAGGAGAAAGGGCTTAAGGGAAAGTCTTATAGATAGATATGTACGTATATGCATTTACCTTGAAGTGATGCAAAGTACACATTTACATCAATTCTTTGGAATTCTTTGACAATCTAAAAATTTAAAAAGGAGAATTTGTAACAATGAGTAACTTTATCTGACCATAATTCAGTAGCATTCAATTACTTGCTCGGGAGAAACTTCCAGCACTTTCACGGTGAATCAGGAGTTTGAAGCAAGTTCATTATTGGAAATTGGAAAACCATAGAGGTTTTCAACATACAGTGACGATGATTAGGATGAAAACACCATAGCTCAAGAGGTGGCAACATCCAGCGCTCAACAGCACTGGACAGCACAGAAGTGCTCCATAAATATTTGTGGAAGGAAAGAAAGAAAGGAGTACAGGAGGCTTCCTAATGCAGCCTCTGCTGGTTGGAAAGAAGAGTATGAGTTTATATCTTTGAGTGGAAGTGATACGGGTGTGGATTTGTGGCCACCAGATGCCAAAGGTAAAAACTGACCTCTGTACTTTGACTGTAGCAGTGTCAATATTCTGATTGTGATATTGTACTATAGTTTTGCAAGACGTTAGCACTGAAAGAAACTCAGTAAGGGATACAGAGGATCTCTCTGTATTATTTCTTACAACTTCATGGGGATCTACAGTTATCACAAAATGAAAAGTTTAAAAGAATCAAGACACAAGACCTATGGACAATAATAAAACAGAACTTGAAGTTTCTGGGGAAAAAAGATCAAGACCTCTATGCAAGTATAAAGTTTGGAGTTTTCACAATTGTCATTATAGCATTTGAAAGCAACTATTTGTTAGGTGCAGAAAATATTCTGGCATTAAATATCTTGACTTTTCCTCAAAGTAATTCATTAAACCCTTTGGTCAACACAATCTGCGATGGATCTGAGCCAATGCCTAGAGTGAAATGCACAAAGAAGAACAAGAGTGTGTTCTCAAATGAGCTAATAACCAGGTCCGCTAAGAGACCTGGAATAGAACCTATCAGCATATTCTCGCACGCTTGTCAATCACTCTTCTACCTGACCTGCCTAGTACCTGCACCCTGGAATAATTTCCTCCCCTTGCAGAGGTACCAAGAAGCCCCAGCTAAGCTAAACCTCAGTTGAGGGTAGTTTGATATTATTATACCTGATTGTTGCTCCCTTGAACCTGCCTACTTTTCTGCCAAATCCTCTTGATACCTACCTTCCTGAAGCGTCACCTAAACTTGACACTCCCAGTGAAGTTGACATCCGGTTAGTCTGCTTTGGAGGACTAATTGCAATTGTTATTTAAAAGATTACTTAAAAAAAAAAGATTACTTAATACTTGCCTTGCCCCTTGGACTGCTTAGTCCCATGAGGGTAGGGACTATGGCTATTTCACAATTAGTTTCTTGTGCCTGGCCAAGTGGTTGGTACACGTGTGGCACTGCACATCTATGTGTTAGAAGAATCATTGAAGTTGAGCTTGCATACCTGGTTTCTGATTGAATGCTTCTGTCCTGCATGCTCCTCAACTCTGACTTCCTAGATGCCTGACCTGCTTCCTGCTGATCTAACCTTGATAATGCCTGGCTTTTCCAGTCCTACCATGTTTCTCATTCTGCTGCTCTTCACATAACAAATAAAAACATAATACTGAACACAAGATTTTGTCCATTTTTCTTTCTTTTCATATTCCATGTCATATATATTCTCAGAACAATAAAACATAATAAATGTTAATATTTGCTGACGTGTGACTATGTGCCAGACACTCTTCACTTTTCTCATTTAATCCTCATCACAACCCTATGAAGTAGGTACCATCATTATCCCCACATTACAGATGGAGAAACTGAGGTACAGACAGATTAAGCAACTTGCCCAAAGTCACACCACTAGTAAGTGGTAGAGCCAGGATTCAACCCCAGGTAGTCCAGCTCCGCAGGACTGTGCTTTAAACTAATACACTCTATTGCAAAAGCATTCCCCTAGAAAAATTACAACTACAATTACAATTGCCTGTGCAATCAATCACCTTTTTGCAAGACCAGGAAACCCATATCATTTTACTATTGCCAAAGCTCCAAATATGTAATTCAAAACACCGGAACCTTACCACACGCAATGATCTCACTCCAACAACATCCAGGAAAGAGACAGCTCCACAGTCAAGCACGAGGCTATGGATTGGCACTTTAGGAACATTCACTTTGACTGGAAGCTCAGCGTTCCAATCCACTTGAATCTCTATTTCCTTGGTTGGAATATCAAATTCTTCCGGATTTTCAATGTCTTCATCAGGCTCAAAAGCATTATTCGATGAACCAGCATCACTTATAATGCCATTCTAAACAAAGAAAACACTGCCAACTCAATTACTAATGATTTGGGATGTCTTTCAACAATTAATCTAAAATGACTTAAAAGTTCTACAAACTGCTTCTTGGTAAGCAAAATATCAAGAGTATGAACTCTTAGGGAATAAGGTTTACCTCAGCCCAAATTCTGATGTTCTCTAGGAAGAAAAATAGAAGAACAGTGGAGAGAGGAAATGCTTGATTTCTGGAAGATTGTAGAACTTAGCCAAGAGAAACATTGACAAGAGAGTTTGAACAAAAGGTAACTACTGTAGCTCTAAAAGTTTAGGAACTTACGACTGCCTTCTGTTGTGAGTAATTTTCTGGCATTGAATTAGCACTTGTTTTGTTCCTTTCAGTAAAAATAAGGTTTATTTCATGAGAGAGAAAAAAAAATCTCACCCTTTGTTTCCCAGTAGCCCTGCTGATTTCATTTTATTCTCTCCCCTTCCCTCTCTCCTAAAAGAACAACTCAGCTGTTCTCCATTATACATATGTCATCTGCTTGTACACATCTGGGTACCAAAGAGGATATATTTAACTTTAGACAGTCTAACTGCTTTTATTTCATCTGAGAAATGAGAGAATTTCAGAGGGGAAAGAATGATGTTGCCTCACCTTTGTTGCTCTTAATTGCCCTTTTTTGATGAGTTTCTGTATTTTCCTCAGTGCTTTCAACCTCTTATTATACACTCTAATGGCATCAAATCCAACCTTTGGAAAAAAATGTCAAGTTAGTTAAAACGTCTGGTTCCTGATGCTCATTAATGGCAATTTTTATCTGAAAAGGCTATTTCTCAAGTGGTATTATTCGCTGATGTATCCTGCTAGAAAGGAAATTCTGAGGTCCGATGGAGGTCTCCACTACCGGGCCACCCTAACCCACCCACCCAGAGACTCAGGGAAGGCAGTAGCATATTGAAGACTCCAAGACAAAAAAAAAAAAAAAAAAGCAAAAAACAACCTTTTTAGCTTTAAGTCTGTGTTTTCCAAATTTGCTTGACATGACAAAGCCCTTGTTGTTGCAGAGTCTATGAACATTCCTTTGAACTTCAGGAAAACACTGATCTAGAGGCAAACTCCAACTTCGAAGCATAGCATGGAATTCAAGACCAGAATTTCCTGCTTATCTATTCCGCTTATACTTTTTAGCCTTTATTCCAACTGCCCCCCTCCCCCACCCCCTGCCCAATACACATTCCCACATTTTCCTCTCAGCTCATATAGTTCCCAAACACCTGCCATAATCTCCTTCCTTTTGCCCAACCGCCACGCAAAGCTTGATCAGTCCACCTAACTCGGATGACTCCCTTCCATGAAATCTTAACACTTACTGTCTATACTACTTACTCGGAACTTACTCAAAGTCTGCCTGGAGACATCTCTAGTGGTTTTGTCCAGCATAGTTATTGCTACCTGAATTTTAACATATGTGTTATTATCGTTTGTTCCTATTCCCAAATAGATTAAAAGTTATTTGAGGGCAAGGATGTTATAATTCTTAATGCCCTGTACAAAGGGAACAGGATATAGGGCCTTATGCCCATGTTTGAGCCCCTTAAATACCTGTAGAATGAATGAAGTCTCAAAGGAAGTTAGAAACTAGATTTCTAGGGATAAAATACTTACTGTGGACTTGATACATTTTTTTAAACCATCAACGTTGCCGTAAAAAATAGGACTAGAAAATCTCAGAATCTTCACTCCTTCAGGTTCTTCAATCTAGCATTAAAAAAAAATTTTTTTTTCTGAGGTTAATCATTTCATGCCTTAAATACTCAGTTAAGTTTTTGGCTATTCAGCTAGGAGCTGACTGACAATTGCTCAGAGAAGCTGGGCAGCAGTCCTCAACTTTCCTCTAACAGGAGTTTGTTCTTTTTCTAGTTCCTTTGGGTGTAAAGTTAGATTGTTTATTTGAGATTTTTCTTGTTTCCTGTGGTAGGCCTGAATTGCTATGAACTTCCCTCTTAGAACTTCTTTTGCTGCATCCCACAGATTTTGGAATGTTGTGTTTCCATTTTCACTTGTCTTAAGGTAATCTTTTATTTCCCCTTTGAAATATTTCTTCATTGACCCATTGTTTGTTCATAGCATGTTGTTTAATCTCTATGTATTTGTCATTTTTTTCAGTTTTCTTCTTGTAATTGATTTCTAGTTTAACATCATAGTGGTCAGAAAAGATGTTTAATATGATTTCAATGTTCTTAAACGGGTTGGACTTGTTTTGTGACCTAGCCTAACATATTATCTATCCTGGAGAATGTTTCATGTGCACGTGGGAAGAATGTGTATTCTGCTGCTTTTGGATGGAATTTTTATACTTTAAGTTTAAAGAAATCCCTTTAACATTTTTGTAAAGCCGGTTTAGTGGTGATTAACTCCTTTAGCTTTTGCTTGTCTGGAAAACACTTTATCTCTTCTTCAATTCTGAATGACAACCTTGCCAGGTAGAGTTTTCTTGGTTGGCAGTTTTGTCCTTTCAGCACTTTGAATATATTATGCAACTTCCTTCTGGCCTGCAAAGTTTCTGCTAAAAAATCAGCTGATAATCTTATGGGGGTTCCTTTATACGTAACAAGTTATTTTTCTCTTGCTGTCTTTAAGATTCTCTATCTTTAACTTTTGACATTTTATTTATAATGTCTTGATATAGATCTCTTTGGGTTCATCTTATTTATAAATCTCTGTGTTTCCTGGACCTGAATGTTTCCTTCCCCAGTTTAGGGACATTTTCAGCCATTATTTCTTCAAACAGGTTCTCTGCCCCTTTCTGTCTCTCTCTTTTCCTTCTGGGACTCCTAAATGTGAATGTTATTCTGCTTGGTGTTGTCCCATAGGTCCCTTAAGCCATCCTCACTTTTTAAAATTCTGTTTTCTTTTTGCTGTTCTGCTTGGGTCAGTTCCAGTGTCCTGTCTTCTAGGTTGCTGATCCATTCTTCTGCTTCATCTAGTCTGCTGTTGAACCCCTCTAGTGTATTTTTCAGTTCAGTTAGTGTATTCTTCAGCTCTTGACTTCTGTTAGGTACTTTTCTTATTATATTTTCTATCTCTGTGTTGAACTACTCACTGTGGTCATCCATTCTACTCCAGAATTCATTGAGCACCTTTATAACCATTACTTTGAACACTTTATCAGGTACATTACTTATCTGTTTCATTAAAGTCTCCTTCTGAAATTTTGTCTTGTACTTTCATTGGGAACATATTCCTCTGTTTCTTCCTCATTTTGCTTGATTCTCTATGTTTGTTTCTATGTGTTAGGCAAAATGGCTACCTATTCTAGTCTTCTAGTCTTGAAGGACTGGCATATGTAGGAGATGAACCTTATTGTTCAGCCTTACCCTAGCTCTTGGGTGTCTCTCAAACCTTTGTGCTTGTCTAATTAGCCTGGTTTATTTTTTTTATTTTTTTAAAATTTTTATTTATTTATTCTTTGGCTGCATTGGGTCTTTGTTGCTGCGCGCGGGCTTTCTCTAGTTGCAGCAAGTGAGGGCTACCTTCATTGTGGTGCACGGGCTTCTCATTGCGGTGGCTTCTCTTGTTGCGAAGCACGGGCTCTAGGCACATGGGTTTCAGTAGTTGCGGCATGTGGGCTCAGTAGCTGTGGCTTGCGGGCTCAGTAGTTGTGGCTCATGGGCTTTAAAGTGCAGGCTCAGTAGTTGTGGCGCACGGGCTTAGTTGCTCCGCAGCATCTGGGATCTTCCCAGACCAGGGCTCGAACCCATGTCCCCTGCATTGGCAAGTGTATTCTTAACCACTGCACCACCAGGGAAGTCCCTAGCCTGGTTTAGTTTTGATAGGCCCCAGTTGTTGAGGGTGTGCCAAGACCTGTCAGTATTCCAAGGTGAGGGATCTCATTCAGCATCTAGTTTCAGGCTGATTGGAAGCCAGATCCTCAGGCAGCAGCTTTTAAAGTATGCAAATACATACAGTCTTGTGGAACCACAATTACTGACCTCAGGAGACTTGGAGGTGTCTCCTGGGTGATGGTTGCAAAAATTGGAGCTTCAGATGAACTCCTTTCTGGGAGGTACCACAAGCTGTGGCGAGGCCAAGGGAGGGTATGAGAATGATGTCTCCCCGCCTACACTGCCTGAGAGCATTTCTGTAGCCTCTATACGTGTGGCAAACCTGAAGCCTGTCACTCAGGTTAAAGCTCTAGGGTAAATAATGGGCCTTTTTCACAGGTGGACTGGGGTATGTTTTGTCTGCTATCTCTGTAGTACCCTGGGTGTGGTAGCCTGCCCAGAACTATCTTTCCAACTGTTACAGTCCTGTAGGGCCCAGGCATGCAAGGCCCTCGGGCCGCCAGGGCCAGGCAACCAAGGGGTGTTCCTTGTACGGACTGTGCTCACCTACCAGCTTTAGCATGGCTGCAGGAGAGTGCTGAGGGTAGGGCATGCTGCAGCTTTAGCGACGCAAGAGAAGAATGCTGGGAGCGGAGCAGACCTGTGGCTTTATTGAGGTTGTGCCTGGGTGCACCTGCCTACACTAGCAAGGTATGGGGAGAGCGCAAAAGTGACACTTGCCAGTGCCTCCATCCCTGAAGCAAGTCCCAAGTGGTCCTTGCCCCTCTGGCAGATGCTTTAAGATTAGCAAATGAATCTCCTTCATATATAGTTCAGGGACTTTCAAACTGCTGCCTTCGTGCTGGGTCCCAGGATGAGTGAGCCCACATGTGAGCCCCTCCAAAGGAGTATCTCACATTCCCACAGTCCCCTCGGGGCCCCTGAAAGTAAGCCCTATTGGTTTCCAAAACCAGACATTTTGGGGGCCTTGACGCTTTGGTGCAGGTCCCAAGGGATGTGGAGTACAAACCCCTTGCTCCTCAGGGAGTAGCTCCAAACTTAGGACATTCCTCCCTCTTGTGGGATGCGGAGCCAGGGGTGGGATTTGGCGAGACTGCATCCCTGCCTCTCCTACTTGTTTCGATGTGACCCTTTTATCCCTTGTTGTGGAGGAGCTGTTCAGCTAGTTATCAGTTCTTTTTCAGAGAGAATTATTCCATATGTAGCTGTAGATTTGGTGTGTCCATAGGAGGAGGTGAGTTCAGAATCTTCCTGTTCCAGAATCCATCTTGGACCGCCCCCTTGAATTTTCTTTCTTTCTCTACTTTTTCATGTTTGTTCCTTCTGGTGGTCACTAAGCACTCTTATTTGCAGGGAACATAAGCCCATCAGTGGAATGTTTATTTTCTTCGTTTTTTATTTTCTGTATTATATATTATTTCTTCCAATTCCAAGGATAGAGAAAAACGTCAAATAAGGTTCTTTGTGACAGAGAACATGAACGTCTCTTCTTAGAATTGAATGAAGAAAATCTTACAGGGATTTCAGACAGTGTCATAGAGGATAAGGATAACATAGCAGAGGAAGAGAAATTTTTTTCCTCTTGCTGCTTGAAAAATTGCTGTTAACATCTTTGCTTTCAGCAGTGTTACTGTAGTGTTTCTAGGTGTGGATTTTTGTGTGTACATTGATTGAGTTCAGTGGGCATTTTGGATTCGTACATTGTGGTTTTCCTCAAATTTGGGAAAGCTTTGATACTTATTCAATATTTTGTCTTTTTTTTTTTTCCTCTTCCTCTCTTTTGGGGATGTTGTTACAACATATGTTTTATTTTGTCCTAGAGGTCTCTGAGGTGCTGTCTTTTTTTTTTTTTTTTAGTTATACTTGACATATTAGTTTCAGGTGTACAACCTGATATTTGTATACACTGCAAAATGATCACTACAACAAGTCTAGTTAACATCTGTCACCATACATAGTTACAGAATTTTTTGTGTGATGAGAACTTTTAAGATCTACTCTCTTAGGAACTTTCAAATATGCAATACAGTATTATTAACTATGGTCTTCACATGTACATTACATTCCCATGATTTACTTATTTATAACTGGAAGTTTGTGTCTTTTGACACCCTTCACTCGGAGGAATAGAATTTTGGTTCAACTTCTGGAAATAACTGAATTGCCTATTTTTAAAAAAATTCCCTGTACAATGGTTTGACATTAAAATGACATTTTAACTAGCATGGACAAAATTCACATAAGCCTAGGATATCAGAGGGCACATTGGATTGAAAGTTTTCCTGACACCCCCCAGTGGACTTCTGGACTTTCCCAACAGAAGTAGCCTCCCTTTTTCGCTACCTTATCCCTAACGTACTGAAAGAGAAATATGCAACCCCTGAAAATCCAGCTTAGCAAACCCAAGTCCAGCCAATGTCTCACAAAGGCACTTACGTTTTTGTAATTCTTTGTGCTTTTGTAGATGTCTGTGCTAGGGATACTTCCAAGGCTGTTCCATGAGGGACTGAAAGAAGAAAAATTAAGGTCAGGATTTTTTGGAACAGGCATATTTTGGAATAAAAAGTTAGAAGAAATTACAGATACTAAAGAGCCCATAATTTGGGTGTTTTTGGACTCTGTCTTTATCGCAGATGACATTTTCCGGTAGCTAAAAGTGAACAGCCGGTGTTTGTGTAGGATTCGGGGAGAAGAAGGAAGTGTGCCTCATTTATGATGCCTGCAAGAAGTAATGAGCATCATACTTTCATATGTGTACGGCTTTATAGGATAAGCAAAGAGCTTTCACACATGTTAAATCTTATTTGAGCCCTACCATAACCCTGAAAGATCAGCAGTATTATCCTCAGTTTTACTGGTGAGTAAACTGTTTAGAGAAGTTCAAAAAGGCCCTGGAGGGAAGAGGAGCACAGCCTCTATCTTTAACCCATGGGTCTTCGTTGCCTGGCGTGGTGCCTAGAACTTACTTGTGAGTTATAGCAACTTTCTGATGAAGTATGGAGAGTCTGCACTGATCAAATTAGTATAATTTCATAGAAATAGGAGCCTGGGAGGACCAGACATGAGTCCTTCCCATCCACCAGACTGTTGATTTCCTGTTTCTGATGCAATCCCATAAATTCCATGATTCTTCAAGTGTGACTAGGGACATATGCTAAATACAATTCCTGAAGAAAGAGTGTCTGTTTAGGGTCTTCTCAGCAATGTGCTCTCTGGATCAGCCTTATAATTACTGGAAATTAAATACTGTGGAGGATACTGCTTTTTGTTGGCTCAAAGCCTCGTTACCAAATCTGCAGCTAAACGGTGCCACCGGTTTTCCTCAGCTTGCTGTGCAGTGCTGATTTTTAACTTAAACCTTAGAAACTGTATAGTCGTTCTTTACAAAACCCTTCTCCCCCAGTCACACTCACACAAGTAAAAGTAAACACAGAGGCATCCAGGGCACAAAACTCTCTTCCAAGGAGAGTTTCTGAGGTGTTTCCCAGTAGCACACTGGGTACTTTGGACGCTTGTGAACTCTTTCGGGCCCTTGGGCAACCATTTAAGGGTGCTGAGGCAGTAAACACAAGCCTTTGGGCAGGCTCTAACATGCCAGGGGAGGGACGGAGGGAGGGAAGGAGAATTGGTCGGTGGAACGGGAAACGTGGACTTATGCTAAGCTGAAGACATTCGTGTTGAGGTTTCCCCAGCTTTTGTATTCCTTCATGGCCCAAGTGCAGGCAAAGAAGGGACCAGACGTCTGGGAAGATAACGGAAGTTTTGAGGAAGGAGAGAAGCACGCTTCTGCTCTCTGTTCAGACAATTCCATAGACCCAGAAGGGCATCTACCAAAGACCTCTCAAGGGTCAAAACAAGGGAATTCCCTGGCGGTCCAGTGGTTAGGACTCCGCACTCTCACTGCCGAGGGCCTGTGTACCCCCAGTTGGGGAACTAAGATCCCGCCAACCTCGCGGCCAGAAAAAAGACTTTTTTTAATAAAAAAATTTTTTAGAAGTCAAGACAAAACAAATGAAAAACCATACACCTTTCGGCTGCCTCACAGATTGTTTTCCATTACTTTGAACTGTGTCTTTGCTGCTTTCACTCTGCAGAGGACCTAATTATGTCTACTTCGCATAATTGGTATGGCTTATTGGGTACATACCTTATTTGGCAGATCTGAATGAATTTTGGCTACAGTCAACTGTTTTAAAGTCTCCTGTTCTGGGTTGTTACATAATTTCTGGGTTACTAGCTTCAAAAGAAAATGAGCTACAATATATTTAGCAGCTGTCTGGGCCCAAGGCTTGGGCCCAGTGCCTCTCAGACATCATCTCATTTTAAAAAGAAACTACACAGCAACTTCAGTCTTTTGCTGAATCATGTATCTTTTAGTCTTACCATGACTTGGAGGAGAGCATAGCAGTAGACCATGTGAATAAGTGCATAGATTTTGGGGTGAGATCTGGGTTCAAATCCTGTCTCTGCCACTGACTAGCTGATCTTGGGGAAGGCTCTTAACCTTTCTGAGCTTCAGTTATCTTACTAGAATGAGGAGAGTAAAACCTATTCACAGGGTTTTTTTGAAGACTAAATATGATAATGTGTGTAAAGCACCATACACTTAATTTGTAGAAGCACTCAATATATAGTAACTATTATGAAAGGGAGTGCTTTTATTGTATTTATCACAATAAAGAAATATAATAAATCTCAGGGTGTGTTGTCCTGTTTATCGATAACCTGGATCTTATATTACTCACAATTGAACTCTCAGGACCACAGTCAGAAATCCAAATATAAGGCCAGCTAGTAAACCGAGGTCCAGCCCCAGAATGATGGATGCTACGCACGTAAACACCCAGATAACCTAGGAAAACATGGAAATGAAAGGAATTATGTTAATTCATCAGGTACCATCAGGTGAGCAATTACCTGTAAAAATAAGATCAATTGTCCACGAACAAATTACAGCGTTGTAAAATATTCTGACTTCATTGCATACTTTAAGTGGAAGTGGAAATTGCCCTTTCCAGTAAAGGCCAGCTGTTCCATTTAAATATTCTTAAATTTAATTTTTGCATATTGACATGGTTCAAAATAAAATTAGTATTAAAAAGGTGTGCAGTGGGACTTCTCTGGCAGTCCAGTGGTTAAGACTCTGCACTTCCACTGCAGGGGCCAGGGGTTTGATCACTGGTAGGGGAACTAAGATCTGGCATGCTGCGTGGCACGGCCAAAAAAAAAAAAAGTGTGCAGTGAAAAATCTTGGTTGTAACTCTCTCCTTTCTCCATCCATTCCCAACGACGCTCCTTTCTTGTGTCCTCGTTTATTTCTGTGTGTGTACACACATGTGCACACTTTTCTCCAGCATTTCTTTTGGCAAATACAAGCAAATATGACTACAAAGCATATATTATTTTCCCTTCTTTTGGTTTGTTATACACGCTCTTCCATTTTGCACTGGTCTCTTTTTTACTTCACAATTTGTCTTGGAGATCTTTCCATATAGATATATAGGGAGTTTTCCCATTCTTTTTATCTGTTCTGGTTTAAATTAGGGCAGAACTCTGAAGGGTTTAGCTTCTTTTTTTTTTTTTCTAACAATCCCTCAGAAGACTTGTAAAGGTTACTTTAATCAAAATTATAATCAACGTGGGGTTTCGTATTTTGTTTTTGCTTTGTTTTTGTTTTGTTTGTCTTTCTAAATTAGAGGGTTTTTTAAAAATTTGTTTGTTTTTTGGTTTTAGAAGGCCAAGGGTATACGAAGGAGCTCATATGGGATTCTTGCCGGAAATGAAACTTCCCAGAGATACAGGACCTTCACAAATCACAGCTCATGTGGAAGACTTCCCAGCTTTGGCTTATCCACAAAATTCTAATTTCTGCTCTGGTTCCCAAAATGCAAGTAAGACTTAGGAGATAAGGGGATGTAATAATATGGCAAGAAGCATATAAGAAGCAATTCTTATTTCAGAGAAAAATGGATGGTAAGTGACTTACAGCATCAGTCTTATTCTGCCTCCACAGACGAGGAATGTCACACACTTGCATAAACATCCCCTTCAGGTTGGCGATTACAACAGCTGCCAAGACCGACTGCCAAGAGAGACAGGGAAGGCTGAGTTATTCAGGGGAATGGTTTTCCATGTGATGACTTCTAAATCCCCTGTTACTTCTCAGGTGGCAGAGCAGTGAAGGGGAAGTATGTAATCGGTGTGGCGAGAAGCAGTGTTATACCTTTTGCAAGGGTTCCAACAACTTCCCCAGGGCAACGATGGCGATCATCACAATCCCAGCCGAGATCATGCCAGCAACCTGAAAGACATACGTGTCCCATAACCAGGGTCCGTCCTGCCCCCTCTGGATGTGTGCTTGCTGGACACATGCGTGCAAGAGCCTGTTCATGGGCACACGTGACACTTCCCAACTTTCCACCTTCTGCTCAATACTGTTGAGACAAGTGAGAATTATTTGCGAAAACCATACATTTAGTAGCTACGGCAGAGAAATTAAAGAAAATGTGGGCCCTGAGTCTGCTAGAGTAAAGCCTGGATTGCACTTGGATACACTGCAGACATATACTTTTGGTGTCAATTCAAGAGGCCAAACTTCTAGTTGTTTGCCATTCGAGGAAACAGGGCCCATCCCCCTTCCCGGACAACAGATCCTTGTAATGTTCTTGGGAAATAAATTCTCATAGCACATAACTGATTCTGCTGCATTATTGAGTCAGCAACCTGATAACAATTCAGATAACACTTTGTATACATGGTTGCTATGATAATCTCAGAGAAAATAAATTTACCAGTCTTTCTGCAGATTCAGAATGCCACACGAGCCTGCTGAGTGGTGGGACCATGTCTCCCGCATCCTCCCACAGCTGCACGGATGCAGGCTCAGAGCTTTGCCCCACAAGCAGCCCGAGTGAGGGTGGGCAGTAGTAGAAGTCAAGGAAGCTTCAGAAACTTTACCTTCGCTGGCAAAAAAGCTCTCCTAAGATCCGTAACTAGTTAGGAGAGAGGCTGAGGGGGTGGGGACTACTCTCTGTTGTGATTAGATGACCAGTGGGCTCTCTGCTGAGACAGCTGGGGCCTGGCCGAGGTGAAGCCTAGTAGCTCTGAAACAAAGGAGAGAAGGAGACAGGGAGCCAGAAGCAAAGCGACCAGAGAGGAGGCAGCAGAGAAGGTTGCCCTGGGCCCAAGTACTGCCTAGTGCAAGATGTTTGCCTTCAAGGAGACACATAAAGCCAATAGAAATTAAAAGTCTGAAAACTTAAGGAAATTTCATATCCACGCTCATTCACTCCAGCTGGCAAATTGCTCAGTCATGTTCAGAGGATACTTAGGCCAGACTGAGGCGATATTATGTGTATGACATACAGAAAAGTCTGCTCTGTCCAGCCAGGTCCCCTTTCTAGGCAATTTGTTATCTCCCAGCACCACACCTCCGGGTTCCCAGTACCTTGGTCAGCTTTCCCCTCTCCTATCTAAGCAGAGAAGCTGGTATCCTTCCTCCCTCCTTCCCTCCTTTCCTTCCTTCCTTTCTTCTACGCAATTACTTAACCAACATTCATTGTCTATCATGAGCCACATGCATCTCACTGTGGATGTAGGGCTCTGTGAATTGGTGAGAGGGATGGAGATTTGGGGACAGTGATCACAGCCAGCTGCCCAACTCATGCCAGGAGGGTGGCCACCTACTCACTGAGGATAGGAAATAATTAGCCTCCGATTATGGAGACCAAGACTAATTTTGGTTACTATTTTAAAATCTGTGAGGGAACCCATTGCTTGTACTTAATTTATAAAGGAAAATTACTTATTTTGCAGGAAATGCTGTAGATTTCATATCTATGAGCAGATTCAGTTACTAGAGAATTAATTCTTCTCTTAAGTGAGAGGGTAACCAGAGCTAGGGAATAGTTTGTCATCAGAATTACTTTTTCATTAATCAGTAGGAGTCAGATGGGGGTGAGGGAAAGAACAGGTTGCAATGTTGAGCTCTTCTACAATCTGTAGATGTGTTGCAAACAGTTGATGTCCACTAATACTTATGATTCTGTTCATTCATTCAGCAAATACATGCCGGGTGCTTCTTATGTGTCAGGTACAACATATGTATCATAGGTACTAAGGCACTATTCTTACCTTGAGAAGTTAATGACCGGAACCATCAACATTTACAAGTGAGTGCCAGGATTTTATAAACAATTTCTTACTTAATCCTCACAACATCCCTATGAGGCGGATACAATTATTACCCCCATTGCATAGATGCGGAAACTGAGGCTCCAACATGAAAAAAAACATGAGAAGCCACACAACAGGAGAAGACTTGCCAGTTTAGTTGGTCACAAGTCCCTGGATTTCAGTCCAGACACTTAGACTTTTAATCCCAGAACTTAGTGTACATTTCAGTAATTAAATATTAAGCTATTTCTCTGCTTGCTTCATTCTTCAGTACTGAAATCCTGGCGTCTTTCATTCCTAAATATAATACACGCCAGTGTGTGGCAGGGGTATTAGCTTACCAGAACATCATTATCCCCAAAGCCTCTGCCAAGGAATCACTTTACATGGGCATTCTTAGGAGGGGAGGGGAGGATGGACGGGACTGTGCCCATTTCAGTCTGGAAGTAACAGCAGAGAATGGACATCAGCACTTGGGGATATGCCTGCACCCACTTACAGCCATGTGCCCTGGAGAGCTTGTCTGGGCCCCATCTCCAGTGGAAGCAGCAGAAAATTTCACTGCTGACAGCTACCCCCTGAACCGCAGGTACAGCTCTGGCAATCACCTCCAACCTCTTCCCCTTGACCACAGATCTCTGGTTATGCTTCCTGTTTGAGGCTGTATTGTTTTATTTGCTCTCACAAAGCTGGAAATGTTTGCAGAAAAAAGCAAAGAAAACTCAATTTTAAACAGAAAAATTCTGAAAATTTAGACTAAATTTTTGTTGAACGGGAGTGAAGAAATTGGAAGAGGCCAGTTCTTCTGACCCTGTCACCAAGATCCTTTATAAATGGTAAAGGAGCATCATGGGCACCTTGGGGACAGTTCAGGCTCCCCCTGGGCAACTTCCTTGTTGGAGTCATTCATTTTGTCAGTTTCTCTCTTTTGTACTTATTTGTAAGTGTCTCTACCTTAAAAAACCCTATTTGAAGACTGTGTGTGTGTGTGTGTGTGTGTGTGTGTGTGTGTGTGTGTTACCCTATTCACTTTGGATTTGTTGTTCTCCTTTATAGTCTCAATGTACTTTTTACTCTTAAATAATAGTTCTTTCTGTACTGGGATGAGAAAACTCTTCAGGCATAACAGAAACACAGTTCCTGAGCTGCCCCTCACCCCCATCTACTTGGTTTGGCTTAGCTGACTCATGTCCTGCTGGAAAGAATGGTCAGAGAACAGCTCCTGAGCTTTCTAGCCCATTAAAGGAGGAGTTTTCCAGAGATTAACTTGGATGCTGGTTTGGGGGACGGCAACAACTTAAAAACCACATTTAAAAGGCAAGATGAGGGCTTCCCTGGTGGCGCAGTGGTTGAGAGTCTGCCTGCCGAGGCAGGGGACACGGGTTCATTCCCCGGTCCAGGAAGATCCCACATGCCGCGGAGCGGCTAGGCCCATGAGCCATGGCCGCTGAGCCTGTGCGTCCAGAGCCTGTGCTCCGCAACGGGAGAGGCCACGACAGTGAGTGGCCCGCGTACCGCAAAAAAAAAAAAAAAAAAAAAAAAAAGGCAAGATGAAACCCACATTCAGAACTTTAGGAACAAAAGTCTTGCTCAGGAAGAAATGCCAAAATGTTACAACAAAAATATCCTTGGCTAGCAAACTTGTTCTCTGGGACCCAACGCCTCTGGACGAAGCTCCTGATCCTTGTAAAGGAAATGTAAATAGACAGCTTTTCATTTTCCTGAAAATAGAATAACTCACTAAGCCACAAAGTGCTCTTACTAGGCCTTCTCTATCCCCAGATAACAAATTGGTAAAAATCAGCATTCTTCATGACTGATTCCTTGTCAACTGTTATCGTCCCTGGAAAAGAAGTAAGTGGAGCTATCTACCAGCTGAGCACTGACACAAAATGGTTTGAGACGTGGCGCATCAGAAAACCATAAATGTTGCTCTGGAAGAGTTTTTAGGGGAGGGGATGGATCACCGTCAAGGAGATGGAGAGACCCCAGGTGCAATCAGACCAGGAAGTACAAGTTTCTCTTTTCTCAAAGGCTAATCGTCCTGCTGAGTTCTTGTGCAAGCCTTTCTGAGCCACCATTCCCCTGACTCATTCTTTCCATCATTCTAGATGGATATTACGACACCGCTGTTACATACCTGTGTCTTTCCCCCAGTGCTCTCCTGGACGGCAGTGCGGGACAGGGCAGTGGTGGCCACAAAACAAGAGAAGAATCCAGAGAAGATGTTGCTGATCCCAAAGGCAATGAATTCCTAAGAGAGAGACTGGATGGCAGTGTTGCTACATATCAAATCTTTGCAAGACCCTCGCCAAGTGTTTAAGGAAGAGCATTAAGAAAGCAAACTCTCAAGCCCACCCTGCCTGGGAGTCCCAGTTTAATTCTTACCATTAAAGGTGCTTGGGACCCTTGGAAGACACGGGGACTTCTGGCTCCGTAGAGCCTAAGAGAGGCTTCACTGCTTTCAGTTGTTTTTAAGATTGACTGATCTTTTGCTCAAATGCTTATTTCACTTCCTGGTGAGTGGCGTATCTGGCATATCTGTAACTCTCACATGAAATATTTTCTCTGTGGTTGGGTATTTGCTATGAAGTGTATTATGCTTAGGAGGGCTATTATTCTTCTTGAGTACTAATCATTTAACTGCTGTAATTGCTATGCTGTTTTCAGAAACCAACCATACTTGCAGATTTGCAAGCAGTGGAAAATCAGCTCACCTGGTAAATGTATCAGGTGCTACAAAAAATGTCCTGTATCTATCACAGGTATCCCCTGCTTTTCAAAAGTTCACTTTACGCCACTTGGCTTTTACGAAAGACCTATGTTAGTACCTGCTTTTGCTAACTGAAAGAAATCCCAAGGGGCTTTTTGCTTTTACAAAAAAGGGTGAAAAGCATCTCTTTTGTAGCTAGCCCTTATAGAGGCAGCCTGCCCCCCAAGTAGGGAGAGAGGCACCACCAAGCTCCTCCCCCGGAAACTACACTCAGCATCTCAGCCTCGAGCCGCCATCGCTTTGAACTGTGCTGGTGAGCACCTGTGCTTCATCTAAATGGATTTTGTGCATCTGTTTGCAAGATGTGTCCTAAGGTAACTGCTTCTTCACTTTACTGCCATTTCTGCTTAAGAAAGTTTTCATAGGAACGCTCTACGTTAGGGTAGCAGGGGAAACCTGTAATTGCACAATAAATCACCTCAATTTAAAGTGGTCACAACTATTATCATTGGCGTTTGTTGCTCTGTTTTGCCGTATTATAGCTGTCATTAAAAAAACAATTACCAGGCGATACTAGATTACATGAAGAATTCTTATTCCAATCTGTTAAGCTTAAATGTTATTTATGACCTAACTGAGTTAACTTTTTAAAAATTAGGATTACTTCAACTTATTTCTTAAAAAGTAAAGTGATGCATATACACTATTAATACTATGTGTAAAATAGACAACTAACGAGAACATACAGTATAGCACAGGGAACTCTACTTAATGCTCTGTGGTGACCTAAATGGGAAGGAAATCCAAAAAAGAAGGGATATATGTATTCGTATAGCCGACTCACTTTGCTGTCCAGTAGAAACTAACACAACATTGTAAAGCAACTCGACTCCAATAACAATTAATTTTAAAAAAAGTACAGTGATGCATACAGTACAGGGAGTATAGCCAATATTTTCTAAGAACTATAAATGGAGTATAACCTCTAAAGCTTGTGAATCGCTATGTTGTACACCTGAAACTTACATAATATAGTACATCAACTATACCCCAATTAAAAAAATAATTTGTTACAAAATGTAAAGCAAAAAAGAGATGTATCCAGCTAATACTACACATGGAGCTTGTTTGGATACTTAACCAGACAAATCAACTGTTTAAAAAAACTTTTTTTTAAACTTTTAAAGATAATCTTAAAACTGACTAGATAGTTGATATTATCAAGGAATTATTGTGAATTTTTTTAGTTGTGATAATGATCTTGTGGTTATACCTGAAAACTGACTGGGTATTAGATGGTATCAGGGAATTACAGCTAGTTTTTTAGATATGATGATGTATCATGATTGCTTTTTACATGCTTATCTTTCAGAGACATATAATAAAATATGGATAAACAGTAAAATATATTTAAAAAATTAAGTGATACAACATGTATATTTCAAAATAATTTCAAATTAGCACACACAGGAGAGAAACCAACTCAATAAAGATGGGTGGAAGAAACCAATCCCTTCTTTAGCAGACAAGAAAAATCTTTCCCATTTATGTTTTCTTCTTATTTTCAGCCCTACAACACCAGTTCAGCAAAAGAGTGACCATACCTGGTTCCCATCGATGGTGTAATCATACTTGATGGCGTATACTTTTCCTACAGACACTGCAATGGCATAAGCGACCACAGCGATGGAAAATGATGCAGTCAGCATCTCAGAAAACAAACTCACAGACGGAATTGTCGGTGGCAAAAACCTAGTGAGTTTTTAAATGAAAAATGCTGTGAAAATTTGACCATAATGCTCTTCCCCCACCTCATCAAATGCTCTATCAACCCAGCCACAAGTCAGAAATAAAAGGACTTGATCCAAGAGGGCAAGAGGTACGTGAGATGCATAAGTGGTAGCATCTGTTTTTACAGGTTTCAATCAGAAGTTGGTGCTATCTCACTGGCTGATTCCTTTGTCCCCTATTTGAGAGGCTACAGATGCTGCCTTATCTACGCTCTGACAAGAATAAGCCTGTCATTACTGATTTTTTAATACCATACAATCCCATGCTGTGCCATTTCACACATTAGTGTTTCTCCTTACACAATTTCATCTTAAAGGTCTTTGAATTTAAAAGATATCCTAGCCATAAAATGAGATTTACCCTGTACAAGGTGAGGTCAGGTCTGTTAAAGAGACAAAGAATGTAAGATGCTAAAAGAGCTAAGTGGAAAATCCATTCTAAGAGCCATGATATTTTAAATCTTCTTGAGTCCGAAAAAGATTAAATGTGTGTAATTATCATAATGCTCCATAGTCACAATGATTAAGACATCCCAACAACTGCGGGATCAAACAGTTGCTGTTTGACAAAACCAGAGCTACGCTACCAACTGTATAAAGAAATACATCTACAAGTTTATAAGCCTGCAATTGTCCCCAAATATGAAAATCGGGGTGGTGGTGGATTCCTTTCTTGTACCTATATCTTTTTTTTTTTTTTTTTTTTTTTTTGGTGTGTGGGCCTCTCACTGTTGTGGCCTCTCCCGTTGCGGAGCACAGGCTCCGGACGCGCACGCTCAGCGGCCATGGCTCACGGGCCCAGCCGCTTCGCGGCATGTGGGATCTTCCTGGACCGGGGAACGAACCTGTGTCCCCTGCATCGGCAGGCAGACTCTCAACCACTGCGTCACCAGGGGAGCCCACTTGTACCTATATCTTGATTACTATCCGTAGGGTGTAATTCCAGAGGTCCCTGGCCAAAAAACAAAAACAAAAGGCAATCTCCCTGACCTACCTCACACCTGAAGTTCCTTTAATAGGAAACTATATTTTTTTCCACCTATAATTAGAGGGAAGTAGTAAAGTAGAAATGATTCTTATAGAAAACAATAGAAATCTAGAGCCAGCTAATATCCTAATATTATCCAAATTAATATCCTAATCTAATATCCTAGAAATTGTTGAATCTACCTCTCTTTTTGTTGATACCGGAACTGAGGCCCAGAAAAGTGAAATAATCTGCTCAAGGTCATTTAGTAGGTCCAGGTATGAATGTTAGATATTAGATGATTTCCTGGGTCACAAGATCTGACTGACCCTTTTAGAGCCTGCTGGTTAAGAAAAAGGTTAGCGATGGGACTTCCCTGGCAGTCCAGTTGTTAGGACTCCGGGCTTCCCATGCAGGGGGCACGGGTTCAATCCCTGGTCTGGGAACTAAGATCCCACATACCGTGCGGTGCGGACAAAAAGTAAAAATTAAAAAACAAAAGACAACAACAAAAAAGAAAAAGGGTCAGTGAGAGAATCAGGGCTCCTCGTTTAGGTGAATCCTAGTGGGACACTCAGAAGCTGACCGGACTTGCAGAAATTGTGTACTTGGCCAGGCAAGGGAGTAGGGAAGTAAGGCAAGTGGTCACAGTTTTGGGGACAGTGTCATTGGGCACTGAGCGATACTGACATATGGCATTGGCCCTCAATGGGACAAAAGGAAGCTGCTGGCGGCGGCTGTGCTTTTACTCCCTTATTGGGGGATTGATGTGGGGAGGGGATGAAGAGGTGGATAGCACAGTGTTTCTTTTTGTTCCTCTTCCTTTCGTCCTACTCACCTTTCTCTCCTTTCCTTGCCCTTTTCCAATCTCTCCACAGCACCCTTTCTTTTTCAGGTTTGTTAACGTTATTAGACTTGTTTCAGTGCTACCAAAAAGTTGCACAAGACAAATGGGATCACTGCCCTTGGGGAGGAGCTTTGAGTCCTGGGGGCCAGGCAGGTTAGGTCAGCTGACCAATCACACCAGGCGGTCTGTCAGAGGATGCAACTTGACTAACCCAAGAGCAAGAGGCTAGAGATCCATTCTCAGCAGGAGAGCAGCCAGGAAAGCTCTGGATAGGGTCAGAAAGGATCACTGAGGGCGGGCGTCCCCAACCCCCGCGCCACGGACCGGTACCTGTGCACGGAGATGAGCGGCGGACGAGCGAGCGAAGCTTCATCCGCTGCTCTTCGTCGCTTGTTTTACCGCCTGAACCATCCTCCGCCCCACCCGACCCCCACCCCACTCCGTGCAAAAACTGCCTTTCATGACACCGGTCCCTGGTGCCAAAAAGGCTGGGGACTGCTGACTTAGGGCAGCAAAAATGAGTTCCCTAAATCTATTAATGGAACATGGACTTATGGGACAGGGCATTTGCTATGGACCTCCTCTAAGAGTTACACCCTAGGAAGCCTGACAACAGGGATCTATGAAATATATTTTTTATGTAGCTGTTTATAACTACTCAAATAATCTGTTAGGGTGAAAACGCCATAACTCAAATAGCCAACACTGCATCTTTTTATCACTAAATTTATACCAGCATTAGGATTCACTATCAAAATGTCGATCCTCTAATGTAAAGTTTCCCAAACTTACCTGAGCATTAGCATCACTTGAAGCCCATTTGAAAAATATTAATTCCCAGGCCCCTCCTCTGGAAAGCCTGATTCTATAGGTTTGGGGTTGGAACTAGGAATCTGTGTTAACAAGGGCCTCATGTGATTCTTGAGAAAAAGTGAGTTTGAGAAACACCAGAAAGAATGATATGTAAGTTAAGCCCCATGTAGCCAGCTGTAATTTTTCTTTTTCTTTTTCTTTTTTGAACAGATTAGAAGAAATCATAAGATTAACCCAATGGCAAGGCAGCAGTTCCCTGTGGAATAAGCCCCGGGACTGAGCTGGCCTGAGGAGTTTCTATTAAGAGCATGAGAAACAGACTGTTACCGGTCCCTCAGCTATTATTAAGGGAGGGGAAACCAGTACTTACTAGTTATCTAACAGCAAGTCTAGTCATAGATGCTATAAGTTTATGTTACAAATGTAATAAACATCTGGGTTTCTTTTTCAATGTCATATGATCGAATTATACTGTAGGACCCTTGGTCCACTTTGCACTTTATGAGCGATCTCACTGGTGCTTTACAGCAAGTTCAAGTTGAGATTTCGGTGGTTTGTCATTCTCTTTGTGTCATAGGAGAACCTGCCAGGGCCACAGGACTAGATGGTGACAGAAGTAGACAAAGAACCTTAGTTCTTTACTCTTTTAATTCATCAAACTATCAAATATATCAAACTTCCCTTAGAGATAATGCACTTTATTTATAGGCACAAATGATATAATTATCATCTAAGATGGATTAAACTAAATGGAGGAGAATTTAGGCCAGATGTCCCTTTTTCCTTAAGCAGATTGTTCTCAGTACAATAAATGTTACTAACCATGATTCTACAGTATGTATAGTATACTGTAATTGTATATGTGAGTTTAAATCAGGAATCTGGCGTTAAAAGTGCATGTCCTGCCACATTTTAAGAACATAAAGAAAAAGAGAGGGCTTCCCTGGTGGCGCAGTGGTTGAGAGTCCGCCTGCCGATTCAGGGGACGCGGGTTTGTGCCCCGGTCCCGGAAGATCCCACGTGCCACGGAGCGGCTGGGCCCGTGAGCCATGGCCGCTGAGCCTGTGGGTCCGGAGCCTGTGCTCCGCAACGCGAGAGGCCACAACAGTGAGAGGCCCGCGTAACGCAAAAGAAAAAAAAGAAAAAGAAAAAGAGAGAGCATATGCGGGTCTCTTTTATACAAATGGCTTGATCTTTATCTACACACATACTGTTTATCTGATAGTTTGCACAAATGGGTATTTCTTTAAGATCACACACAAATAAGACCAATGAAATGAAGCTTAAGTTTCATTTAAACAGAAAGTACTGACAATATATTAGTATTGCCTAAGAGGGACTCCATACTCACCCACTTGGGATGGACTTAACAATGCCAGCATTATAGTTTTTTTCCAGGTCAACTCCATATGAAATGGCAGTAGCTATTATTGTCTGAAATAAAACAAAAGAGGTTAAAAAAAAAAAGTCCATTTGTTTTAACAAGTCCTTTCTTATCAAACTAATTAATGCTGAATTTTCTAATTACACATTCTACTTACCACAATCACTTCTATAGGAATAGGGACTGGGATTTTGTGTTTAAATCGATCATTTAATTCCTTAACTGCCATACAGATGATAATGGTGAGTAATCCAGCAATGAAATCAGCAAGATTAGTGTTACCAATATTTTGAAAAATCTCAATTAGAGTCTGTAAAAAAAAATGTTTTTATATAGTTCCCATATGAAAAATCATATCATCATCAAAGAGCACTTAAGAATTTCATGTAAAATTATAAAAATGTGTTGGTTAATATACAGACCACTGATATCCAATCTTTGCAATATATATACCAAGTTATTAATGATGGTTAACTTGAAGTGGTAAAAGTATGGGTGATTTCTGCTTTCTTATTTTTGCTTATCTGTATTTTTTACAATAAGAATGAGATCTTTTAAAAGAAAGTATATCATTATATACTGTCTTTTGCTTGCAGAAAAGCTTTAAAAGTTTATACCTTAAGTGGTTTCACAGGTGCTATTAAGTGACCTAATTTTCACCATGTTGATATGTATTATTGAGATTAAAAACTGATAAACCAAAAGTCCCAGTTAACCAATATTTTAGGTAAAGCTCTTCACTAAACCTGAGTGATACAGGTGAGAATAAAAATCCCTAAAATTCTTCATATACATACAGACTGACTGATCCATATACATACATACAGACAGACATATACATACATACAGACTGATCCATTCTTTATGGCAAAGAAAAGCTATTGAATTGATATATAGGTCAAGTATAAATTTCTGGAAATTAATTTGGTACTTAGTTCAAACTTGAACTAAGGTGACTTAAATAAAACTAACTATTTCCAAGTGGACAGACAAGACAGCTCAAGAAAAACTAGTTTTGTTTTGTAAATAGGAGGTTTCTGGGAATCAAGGGAGATTAGCAAGGAAGAATCCTGGAGGAGAACACTAATATCTTTGTTATAGGAACTTCAGTCCTGTAGAAGGCATGACTTTAGAAGGTATTCCTCAATTCTTCGAGACGACTAAGCTCCCAGTGAAGGTTACCTTTCTTTGAATGAGTCCTTTTATAGATATATTTTTATATGAAGATAAAATATTACTTAAAATAATTATAACAACAATGTGGTAACAGTTATGTATAGTGCTCACTGAGTAATGTACGAGTCATCTTGCCAGCAACGTCCACCGCTCTGGAAAACATTCAGGAGTAAGGGAATGAGAGGAGAAGCTACTGTGCAAGCAAAATACATGCCACCAAGTGCTTGAACAAGAGTTCGAGAATCTGACTTGTAGGAAGCCTCTTGGACTTTCACTGACTATTTTTGCCCTTGCTTTAAACACAATACTAGCACATTTACTTTGTCTGCTTTCCAGAGTCAGTAAAAATTGCTAGAGGCAGATACATTGATAGTAACAAGATGATGCAAGTGATAGCAGCGTGAAAAAGGAAAAAAACAACAACAACAACAAAAAAACTACTACCACAAGCGGACACAACAACTCAAGAATTTAAGGCATTTACCATAGCAGTAAACAGCCCTACACAAACAACTCAGAGTCTTGAAGGTATTGCTGTCTGGCCCTTTACATAATCAATTTTCTGATGATGACCCTGATTAATTCATGAGCTAGATATAATACCTCAATTAATTGTCTATACAATAAAGGTTTACTCTCAATGCAAGACAGAAATATTCAAACTTAAGAACAATCAGAATACCTATCCCGATCCTAAAAACTTTCACCTTACAAAAGTGATCACTACAGGATTGCCATGTAATCTATGAGAGTCACTTAGACCTTTGAAGAAAAAGCACCTGTGGTGTATTAAAAATGTAATATGAGTTGCAAAAACCAAAATCAGTTTATATTACACAATTGCATCAAACAAGGCATATGAATATATTAATTACCTATACTGAGTAGTTATTCAGAATCTTTTTTTTTAATTTTTATTTTATACTGGAGTATAGTTGATTTTACTCAGAATCTCTTATGAAAAGTTCTACAATAGAAAGCTTAATCTATGTGGAAATAAAATTCACCCATAGAAACTGAAGTCGTCAGACTGTACTCAAAGATATAGAAATGAGACTTTACGAAAGCACTGTAAAGTAATTCTAATTTAGTTTACTATTAAAATACTTACTCAAATGTGTTTAAAATATGGATATACTTATGATTCCATATTTCAGCCTAGTATTCTGACCAGTTCAAATCAAGATAATGAAACTTTTCAGAATGGGTAATATTTTACTATATTTCCTACCATGCTTGGAGAATTTTAGAACCATTTCATTTACAGAATTTCTTCCTTCTGGGTATATGAAGCCTTAAGTTAAAAATTATACCTGATATTACATATGAGGAAATTCACTGGTTAACTTTTGGTGCCAAATTTATTTTAATTCATCTTATCTCTATGAATATAACAAATCCCTCATAATCAGCCCTTGCTGTCAGGCATTTCCTCCTACCAGAACTTCTGTTGCATATATAAGATCAACCCTTAAAATGTTACTTTCCTTTTATAATGGCTTCATTTTTACATACTGAAATAGATTCGAAGTAATGAATCTGATCGAGCTTAGTGGTAGCTTTCAAAACTCCCACCATCTGGGCAGAACTTTTCCATGTGGTTTTCCTCCTCATTAGGGGAAGAAATGGGGAGGTAACGTCAACTTAGTCAGCAAGCAGAAAGGCTTCCCTTGTCTATTGAGACAAACCATTCAGAGTGAATGGTAGGAAGACATAACCACTTGGAAATGGACTGTGTGATTTACTTACATGATTGAGTAGTTACCTGGTAGCTTGAGTATTACTAGTTCTGAATTCTGACAATTTTCCTTTCTGTCTCTTGTACCCAGCATCTCTGGCATTTGTAAACAAGTTTCTATTTTCCTTTCTTTCCCAATATTTCCTCCTCCCATTACTTGTATTCATTATTTCCTTTTTTTTTTTTGGAGGAAGGAGCAGGCAGGCGATCCAGAGCACAAGCTTATAACAAAAGGGATGTTAACTACATTCCAGAGACAGCATCTTACAACAATCTTACAGTCTTTCCTGGAGGAATCCACAGCTGCCCTGCATGTGTTGAAGGATTCTTTCACGAATAATCGCAACTGGTAATATCATAAGCAGAATTCTCTGTTCAGGTACTGAGTGGCTCATTCAACCCTTAGGCAATTATTTCCAGACCTGCTGATTCTTTTTTTTTTTTTCCAGAGGAGCAAGCTTATATTCATCCTCACACAAGAATGATTGAAGTATCTTTATCCAACTTGGCTGGCCTGGGAGGAATTGCTTGCAGAATTCTGTAACACATTCTAACCTGAGGCTTCAAGAATAATGTTCAACAGGACATAAGTCACATAATAGTTCAAAAACTATTTTTGACCTTGTTCTAGTGTTTCCTGGTTACTTTGGTCTCTGTTGAAAGTGGGGTTATTTGCAGCAAGCTTCATCTTAAACATAGTCCTAGGAGACCAGAAGGACTATTTCTGTCCCCTGTGTGCAGAAGTCCAGCAGCGGCCAGAGACCCAGGTCACCCATCGGCCTAGGCCTCCTGTGATCTGTGAGGGTGCAGGCCTAGCGATGTTCACACGAGGAGGTGAGCACACTCAGTCGGAGTGTCTTGGTGGATTCAGGAGTAAGTGGGTTTGTACAGGGAGTGAACAGTGCCTGGCACATGGCAGGTTTCAATAAATACTTATTGAAAAGATGAATGAATGACAATGAAGGAATAAATGAATGAACAGTTGATAGAGAAAGTAGGAAAGCAAAAAAAAAAATGGTGTGTAGGGACTGCAAAAGTGAGACAGCCTCTCAGAAAAAGGTAGTCAGAAGGTCTCAAAGCAAACCAAGGTCTTAGTAGGAAAAAAATCAACAATGACAGAAATAATGATGAATGAAAAAACAGCTGCTAATAGGCTGGGTCCTTGGGAAGTGAACAGTAAGTTCCATGAGGTCTGATCATCATGATAATGAAAACAATAATGAACTGAATTGTTACTATGAGCCTGGTATTGTACTAAGTGCTTTACACAAATTTTCATTTTTAATCCTCAGAGTGCTAACAAGCAGCTACTCTCATTACTCCCATTTTACAGCTGAGAACACTGAGGCTTAGAAAAGTTAAATATGACATGACCAGAATCACATGTGTCATAGGTGGTGGAACCAAGACTCCAACTCAAGTCTATTTAAGTTCAAAGTCTATGATCTTAATCACTATGTTAAATTGCCTCCTCTACCTAGTCCCACTGCCTAGCACAGTATCTGGCCTGGAGTAGGCACTCGGTATGTCTGTTGAATGGACAGAGTAATGTGGGATTATGGCACTGCTGTGAACCTGAGCAAATTCCTGTCCACCTCACTAATTTTCAGATATGTATGCATGGCCTTACATCATTTTAGAAGCTAATACATGGGTCATTAAAGGACTCAAACTCATTCTTAATGCTGGCACATTGTATTTGCCTTGTATCGTTCTCCCCAAGCTAGGGTGACATCATGTTACTATTACCACCATTTTTCAAGCGTTGATAACATGCTTTATATAGAACATAGATTTAGATCCAAGAACTTTTTCAAATCTAATTAGTGTGATCTACATCCTTCTTTTGCATCTCTTTTGCATGTTGAATCATCTCTGGATCTAATGTTCCTCTTCGTCTATAATTGCTGAGACATTTACATTATGCATTTTATGGACTCTCACAGTTAAAAAGGGCTTTAGAGATACATCTCCAATCATTTCACTTTATAAATAAAACAGAAAAGCCTTGAGATGTGAAATAATAATTTCAAAATAACACTTTTTTTTTGAGTACTTGTTATATGCCAGCCCCTAGGCCAAGTGCTTCTCATATATCCTTATTTAACTTAATTGGTAGATATTACTACCAACTCCATTTTGTGGAGAAGGAAGCTGAGGCATAGTGATTTGCTCATGTAATAGTGCAAATAATAAACAATAGGGTCAGGATATGAATCCCTTTCATCCAAACTGAGCTTTCAGCCACTGTCCTACACCATGTGTCCAAGGTCACTTAGCTTAGCAGAGGCAAAATTGAGAATGGGGTTCAAGTCTGCTGCCTCCCAGGCCAGTCTTCACTGTAGCACTTTGTTTTCGTTAATATTTTTAAGAGTAATGATCCTTCTGAAACCATTTTGATCAACTGAGAAAAATGTTTTGCAAAATCTGCCTTTTTCAACGTTACCCCTGATTCTACTGCTTCTTTCAGAGAAGAATGTTTTCAGTGGCTCCCAAAGTATGGCATGGAGGAACGTACACTCTCCAGACTCAAGTTCAAGAGGAAAAGTGAGCCATCCCTGGATTAAGAAGCAGCACTTACATAGATAATGGAGAGAATTCCATTATAGTTTTTGGTTGAAACATTGAGGACAATCTTTAGCTGTGAGACCAACACTTGGAAGGCAGCAGCTGTTGTGAATCCACCAACCAAAGGATCTGCCAGGTACCTCACAATGAATCCAATCTGCAAACCTCCAAATATCAACTAGAACAAGAAGAAGGAAGGAAAAATTAAATGTTTGCCTGGGAGAAGGATCAACCCTTTTGAACTATTAATGAATTAAACTTAACACCAATTAAAACTCTGGTAGCCTGCCGATAACACAAAAATACTTGTAGGAAAGGAATCTGAATTTCTTAATGCCCTCTCTCCTCCACCACTCTAAAATTTGAAAACCATTTGTAGTACGAACATTAAATATTTCTAGATATGTAATAAGAAAAGAAAAATTCATGTAGCTTATTTCTGTGACTTGCAGTTTCCATGGCTCTGCTCAAAAGAACATTTTTTTTCTCTTTATGGGTTCTGGCACATTTCCCTTCTCTTATTCTCATTTGAATCACACATGTTCTTCTGCCTTTTTTTTTTTTTTTTCTGTCTCTGACTTTGATGATTAAGTGAGCCTTAATAAGTGGGGGCTTGCTGACTATTTTAGCATCTGACCTAAAACAATATAACTTAAAAAATAACTTTGAGGGGTCGGTAAATTGATTTGTTTTGCTTTTAAATGAATCTTTAAGTCCACATGCTCTACAGTTAATTCTTTCAAATACAAATCATGCCAATCTGTATATTCCTTGTAAGCCCATTACCTGTATGATTCCAACCAAAAGAGTAAGGGTGCTCGCAATCAATACTCTTGCTGCATCTCTAGCTGCAGAGTCTATCACGGTGGTATTCAGTGTAGTTCCATTACTGCTGGACATGAGAAAGTGTTCGTCGGGGGCCATGCTCAGAACAACAGATCCCACCATTAAACTGACCACTGGGAAAGGTCCTGGGGAAAAAAAGTCTCTTATCAACTAATAATTATTAATCACTTGTAAATCAACTATACCTCCATAAAAAAACTTTAAAAAATTATTATTATTAATTGCAAATGTTTAGGCTCAACATGTCTACGTAGGATTAGAAAGATGTGTGAAGTAATTAGCTGTGATTGGGAAAATACTGTTTGTTCACAAAAAAAAGCTAAAAAGTAGATGCTTCAATGCACTCATGACCCAGAAATGAGCAAGAGAGACATGTAGGTGGGTCATTGTAATACAGCTTTCAGACTGCTTTGTAAGCACACAGGAAGGGTGTCTAACCTATCTGTGTGTGATCTTTACGTATATGGGTGGGACATGGGGGGTGGAGGGAGGAGTTGTCAAGAAAGGTTTCCTGGCAGAAATGGCATACTAGCTGAGTCATTACTTGTTCCATCTTATTTTTATTCTAGGTAAGTTCATTTCCTAGAGCATCCAACGTCCTGATCTCTGTGGAGATAAGGACCTTGATCAATATCACCTGATCAAAATTAGGTTAAAGAAATAGCAAAGGGAGTATAGAGTTTCTCTTTTTCTCTTTCCAAGACAAATTTTTTCAAATCAAATGCCAGTCTGTAAGATTCTACGTTTCAAAGGTACTTTTCTTTCAGCAGCTGCTCCATTCACTACTGATGTTTTTATCCATGATGATGATGATCCTATCCTTTGATCATGGAAGGCTTTAACAGCTGGGAGGGCTCAGTACCAAAATCCAGTAACTCGGAGTGTCTAAATGTATAGAACACCAAAGAGAAACAAATCAGCTTCTGTGTTCCTCACCTCGTCATGCATTTGATACTGATCTACTCTCCCAGGTGAGAAAGTTATTTTAGTCAATAACCTCATTCTGAGCTCCTTTTATAGACAAGGCAATATGCCAGACACTGGGGGAAATACAACGAAGGATAAGGATATGGGCTGGGGATATAGTAGTAGATGGCTGCATTTGTTTCAAAAGGATTGCCCAGGTACACATGTCTAGCCAGCAGATGGATGTAGGCGAAAAGTTATCTCAAGTGTAAATGTCAACGTTGCAAAATAGCATTAAAACACTCATTTACTAGAACATTTTAGCAGAAGAAAATTCAAATTTTAGGAAGTTCAGGAAATAAATCTATTTTGGGCCATACCAAGAAGGACAGCCAAGCTCAGTTTCTAAATTGTTGTGGCACGATTTTGCCAGTCTTCCAATATTAGTGACTTAAAATAAGCATGCTCTTTAATAAGACAATGAATATGTATTTGATGAACATAATTTAGTAAAAGCTAAGTTAATCTAGTAAAACAGCAGGTTTGAAGACCTCTTGAAGATTTTTTTTCCCTTGTCATTTTTAATTTTAGAACATTTTCTAAATATAGAGTCAAATGTATTACATTTTTGAAAAGCAAAACATGCTAAGATTTGAAGGTAGGCTCCAATTTTTTAACAATCTTTCAATCTTCTCCTCTTCATTAAAAAAAAGGGGATTAAGTGTAAAGCTTACACTTTACACTTAAGAACCATTGCATCATTGAATAGGAAAAGCGGGTAAAGCACTGATGCCCTATCTCCCTAGAAAACATTAACAAAGATATGGAAGCAGAACACACATAATATAGCCCAAACACGTTAAATGTGAACAAATAGAATTGTATATGCTTATAATTACCAACTGAGATGTGTCTTGATGTTCCGAAGATAAAGTATGTCAGGATAGGAAAAAAAGCAGAGTAGAGACCATATCCAACAGGAACAGCAGCTAGTAGAGCATACGCCATGCCTGAAAGTACATCCAAAATGATCAAATTCAGAAACAAAAGTTATGCTTTATGTCTATGGTACAGAGAAAGGCCTTTTCATAGATCTCTTCAACTTACAGCTCATTCTGAGTGATTTCCTTACTACGCTAGGATGCAGAACATGATTCAAATCAGCTGGGATAATGATTGCAGCTCACGTATCACCTGCTCAAAGGAGCCGACTCAACTGATCAGTAGTTCAATCATCAGGTGAGCGGAAAAAGAAAGTCAAGCCAGTTGTTGATTAAAAACTTGATCAAGGGCTTCCCTGGTGGCGCAGTGGTTGAGAGTCTGCCTGCCGATGCAGGGGACATGGGTTCGTGCCCCGGTCCGGGCAGATCCCACATGCCGCGGAGCGGCTGGGCCCGTGAGCCATGGCCCCTGAGCCTGCGCATCCGGAGCCTGTGCTCCGCCACCGGAGAGACCACAACAGTGAGAGGCCCATGTACCGCAAAAAAAAAACAAACAAAAAAACTTGATCAATTCAGTTCAAAGGCTCAGGCTGGGTTTGTCTGAATTCAGTGTTTCAGTGTTGTGAGGAACACAGTCATTGTTGCCTGCCCTTTCTCCTTTCTTGTGGGGGAACAGAGGTTAGATCCAAACAAAGAAAAAAATCTGACTTTTGTACATAGCATAGGCTCTCCACTAGGAGATCAACACCTTCGCTAGGCTATCCCAAGTGGCTTCTGGGTCCATGAATGTCACACTGTATGGAGAAATCTCAACCTTTCTGTGTACATGGCAGTGGAGGACAATAATGTGTTGGCTTTTTGTTTGTTTGTTTTTTGCCTTAAACAACAAACATCTGTTTCTCACAGTTCTGAAGACTGAGAGCTTCAGGATCAAAGTACCAGCAGTTTCAGTGTCTGGTGAGGGCCCTCTTTCTGGTTTGCAGATGGCTGCCTTCTTGTTGTATCCTCACATGGCACAGAGAGAGTGAGCTCTGGGCTCTTCCTCTTTTTATAAGGGGACTCTACCTGATTACTTCCCAAAGGCTCCCACCTCCAAATATTATCACAATGGGGATTAAGGCTTCAAGATAAGAATTTTGGAGGAACACAAACATTCAGTCCATAGCCCTTTCCTTCTCCTGTGGGTTTTTTTTTATTAGATACTTCTTAGGTAGTCAGCACATCTTACTCTATATTACCCCCCTACATTTTACTCACAGTAAGAGAAAATCAAGCCCTTTGACCTTTGGGTCATTAATAAAGGATTACATTTATAACAGTAAAAAAAAAAAAGTGGCAACAACCTAAATATCTTGGCCTCTGAGTACCCAAAATTATTTATTGAATGAATGTTTCAAAACAGGGAAGTGGTTAACTAAATTATACTGTAATTCTATGAAATGAAGTTGATGTGCTGCATAGAAATAATTTACTGCTAATAATTTACCTATCTGTAGTACAATAAAGTGCATATAAGAAATAAGTGAGAAAAGGCAGGACTCAAACTAGTGATCAGGGAATTTCCTGGTTATCCAGTGGTTAGGACTTGGCACTTTCACTGCCATGGTCCAGGTTCAATCCCTGGTCAGGGAACTAAGATCCCACAAGTGAGCAGAGCAGCCAAAAAAAAAAACCACAAAATAGTGATCAGTATGCATGCTTCCACTTTTGTTAAAGTAAACGTGTTTGTTGTATGCATTTAAAAATATGAAAAGATTTAACAGAATTCAGGTACGCAAAGACTATAATATAATAAACACCCATGTACCCACCCTCTAGCTTAAGAAATAAATTATTGCCAGTACAGTTGAAACTCTCTATATACTCTTTCTCATTCACATTGTCTTTCCTCCCTCCGCCCTCAGGAATCAACCACTATCCTGAATTTAGTGCTTACCATTCTCAGACATTTCTTTATACATTTACGTAGATGTGCATTTATGTGTCTAGTAGGATATTTACTAAAATATGGGTTTAGTGGGTTATCTATATGCTAGGATCAAAGGAGACTTCTCATTTGTTGAAGGGGTATTTTTTTCATGTTCCTTATATGTATTTTCTAGTTTCCCACAATAAACATTCATTCATTCATTCAGCAACTATTGATTATGTACCCTCCATGTGCCAGGCACTGTTCTAGGTTTGGGGGAATATGGGAGTGGACAAAACAAAGTCTCTGCCCTTAGAGAGTTTTCATTCTAGAAGAATCTGTATTACTGATGCAAATGTTTTCATATATAAATTACAACAAGGAATTGCAATAAACAGTCATCCCAAGAGCATAGAGTAGAAAGGTGAGGCCACAAAGGGAAGACAAGAAAAGAAGGAGCAAAAACAAAAGCAAAAAAAAAATTTTTTTTTTAAATATTAAAAAATAAAAGAGGGCTTCCCTGGTGGCGCAGTGGTTGAGAGTGTTTTTTTCAAGTATTTGTATTTTTTTCAAGTCTATGTATTATTTTCAAGTCTTTCTCAAACTTCCACTTGCCTAAACTGGGCTCTGCAGTCCTTACAGGCCTGGAAAATGGGGGCTTTTTCAGTTTTCACAAAGTATCCTATTTCAGGACAACTGCTACTCAGATATACTGTAATCATATTATAAGGGAATTTGGTACAACAATTTTGAAATTACATAATTTGTAAAGAAATCTAAGCCATTGATTTAAACTATGGAATCTCTTGTGTTGACACCCTTCCTATGTAGGATGGTGGCATGTATTGATAAAGGTGCTAGCAAACATTCGGAAGCATCTAGAAGGCAAAAGTATCCATAGAAAGTAGAGAGCAGGTTCCCCATAGGTACGATTAAAAATAGCACTAGGGGGCTTCCCTGGTGGCACAGTGGTTGAGAATCCGCCTGCTGATGCAGGGGACGCGGGTTCGTGCCCCGGTCTGGGAGGATCCCACGTGCCGCGGAGAGGCTGGGCCCGTGAGCCGTGGCCGCTGGGCCTGCGCATCCGGAGCCTGTGCTCTGCGACGGGAGAGGCCGCAGCAGTGAAAGGCCCGAGTACCACACACACACACAAAAAAATAGCACTAAAAGGGCTGCATTGATTTCTTGCTGCCTAGTGGGAACTTTTTGTTAATAATAAAAGTAAAAAAGATTTCATGATCCTTAGCATTTCTGGCTTCTCAGTAACTCCGGTGAGTTTTTCCCTACCCCTCAGCTGCCCAGCCAGTGGTTATATTGGTTATATCGTGGACCTTGCCATCCCTAGAAACTGCAGCGCCACCTCTGAGATCTCAACGTTGAGCCTCCTGCTCTCCACCTACAGCCACCTAGCCTCTCCGCTCACCTACTCCAGAATCCTTACTGCAACATTTCTTTGTCCTCAGGAGGCTTCTAATCCATGAACGGATCCACTATCCTTGGCAGCCTCTCATATTCACTTGCCTCCTTGTCCATAGAATTTTCACAAGTACTCTGAACTTCCTGGCTTCACTCTCTCTCTCCTTCCCCTGTCTTCTCTGGTAAAGCCCCAGTCTGGCCAAACCCAAGCATCACCCTATTCCATGCCAGGATTCAAGCAGCTGGATAACTGAACTAAAGTTCTCTACATTTGGGCTGGCCAGTTTCACATAAATTTCATGATCGCAAGCCCCAGATGGGAACTCCACACTGCCTGGCCATCCAATTTCATTTCCTCAGGAAGTGTGCTTTTCCTCACCCCGAGATAGCTACTCAGACTTCCCCTACTTCCCTCAAACTCCCCATCCCCCTTCTCTATACAGACACTGTTTAGAGATGAATCGTAGACTTCATCCAAAACATGGACTCCATGAGATGCCTGTTGGCTTTTTACCAAAATTTCCAATCTCTCTGCATCTGCACAGTTTTGTCTGTCTTTTCTCCTTTGAAAATGGAGGGAAAATATCCCACCTATCTTTAAGGAGCAGCCCTCCCACTTCTATCCTTGAACCGATCTACACTTGCCCCTTCTTGTCACTTTTAGTTGTTTCTCCTCTACCTCATGGACCACAGATCTCATGGTCCACTGGGTCACATCTGTGTTCTAGTACCTCCTATATTAAAAGAAAAATAAATCCTTCCATCACTTTATCTTTGCCTTTTATGCCTCTGTTTACAGCCATTTCTCTACTCTGCTTCACAGCAAACCTTCTTAAAAGTATTGTCTGTGTTCCATCACCAAGAGCATTCCATACTACAGACCCCTCTATCCTTAAAAAAAAAAAAGAAAGAAAAGAAAACAACTCCTCTCTTGGCTTCTGACCCCACATTCCTCAGACTGTTCTTTTTCTCTAACTTCCTGAGCCCAACCTCCTCATGTTTCTTTGTGGCCCCTCCTCAACTCCCCGACCTTTAAGTACTCCAGCCCCATTCTCCTCCCCATCTGCCCTTTCTCCCTAGGTAGTTTCAGGCATTCCCACTCCTTTAAATATCACCTCTAAAGTGATGCTTTCTGGACTTTTATGTCTAGCCCAGACCTCTCCAATGACCTTCCCACTTCTAGTATCTCCAACTCCATGTTTGGCGTCTCAAATGTGGCATGTCCAAAAGGAAATGCTTGGTTTTCCATCCCAATCCTGGTCCTCAGCCAGTCCCAATCCATCAGTATATTACCCGTGATTCCTGCTCCAAAATACATTTCAGGGGACTTCCCTGGTGGTACAGTGGTTAAGACTTCTCACTTCCAATGCAGGGGGCGCTGGTTCAATCTCGGGTGCAGCCAAGCAATGTATATATTTATTTCAGATCTGTGCAGCTCTCTCTAATCTCCTGCTTGATTGGCTTCAAGCCGAACCATCTATCCTCAGGGCTGGGATTTGGGAGAGGCAAGCGAGCAAGCGAAGTGCCTGGGGCGCATTATTGAAGAAGGCCCCCAGAGAGTAACTCATTTATGCATCTTAATCCTGGCCCTGTCTAACCTTATCTCCTCCTGTTCACTCCCCCCAGCCCGCCCCCTCCTCCACCCACACTGGAATTCTTCCCGTTCCTCCCTTGAAAATACTATGCTCTTTTTGACCTCAGGGACTTTGCACCTTTGCCCGGTACACCCTTCTTTCTGATCCTTACAGGGCTGTCTCCTTCCCATCCTCCTGACCCTGATTAAATTTCACCCCCTCAGGAAGCCTTCCTTGACCATTCTAACTAAAATAAACACTCCATCCCCAAATTAATCCCTATTCAAGCCTACTTAATCCACCATAATAGATATCACAATCTGTAATTATTTTTCTATTTATCTGCTTATTTATTTAATTCCTCTGTCTCCCACTTAAAATGAGCTCCGTGAGGTCAGTACCCACCCATGTCTGTCAGTAAACCACTGAATCCCCATGGCTGGCCTGCATATGTTATTAGATGAATGAATGATGATGGATGATGAATGAACATATGAACGAACCACGTTCACCTCCCAGAAATTCACCTTACAAAGATAACTTCATAGAGATAATGTTTCTGGAAAGCGTATCAGTCATAAAGTGAGGAACTGCATCGTTTATAAATTAAGATCCTAGGAATTAGACTCTGGGTTCAAATCCCAGCTCCACAACTTACCAGCTCCATGACCTTGGACAGGATGCTTAATAAACGAAACTAAAACTAAAGTTAATTCTTATAAGATACTTGTCTATGAACACTTGGGGGACACAGCTTGAAACACCATTTTTCATACATAAAGATGATTCATTATCAGGAATGCAATTCAGTCCTCTTTAGTAAAGGTTTCCAGGGCCACCTATTTTGTGCCAGTCTCATGCTAGGCACTGGCTAAACAAATATGAATTAGACAGTTCCTGTCCCCCAGGAGCCACAGGGCGTTGCCATGTCACAGTTATTAGAGTCCACTGTATACACGGCACTTGGCATCATTTAACGTATGAACCGCACTGCCCCATCCACCTTTGTGATTGAAAACATGGTTGGCCAGGCTGTGGCTCTGCACTGGGGCCACAGAACATCTTCCTTCTCTGTGGGAATCTCCCTGGCCTGATCTGAATAATGCTGAGAGCTCTATAGGCAGATTTTGTCTCATGGCATTGCTCAACCTGTATCACTAACTTCTGAAATAGTCCATTTCCAAGCCATCTCTACACACATTTCTACCCCACCCTACTTCCCATCACTTGGCAAACTGAGACTTAACCTTCAGGGAAACAGCTCTGATGACTCCTCCTCTAGGAAGCCATTCCCAGTCTCTGAAGGCTGGGTTGAGTGCCCCTGTGTGCACTCCCTTCCCAAGCAATGTTACCCCTGCTACGGTTGGTCCTTCCATTGAATTGTTATCTATCTCCTCATTGGACTATGAGCTCCTTGAAAGCAGGTGGTGCATCTTATTCATGTCAGAATACCTAGTGCCTGGCACCTACTAGATACTCCATAAAATGATAATAAATAAATGAGATTTCTGTTTTCATGGTCCAGAAGCTTTGTAGAGTTGAAGCAAGGGCAGAAGCAAGACGATGCGGGTGGAGGACAAAGGAGAATGCCCATACTGCTATGCACCAGCCATGCAATAGATTTCCAAGATGTTCATGGAAATGTGGCATAAAGGCAGTTTAAAAAATGTCCTGTGTTGGGACATTTTGCCAAAAGATTAAAATACGGGGATGGATTTAAAAAGGGGAGGGGGAGGTAAGGGGAGAAAAAGCCACTTATGTGTAGTCCAGGCTAAAATACGTCCTTCCCTTTCCCTTAAGTCAGTTTCAAACTGCAGGTCAAGACCATGTATGCAATGTAAAATAATTTAACGGCCTACAATCATCATTTTAAAAATATAAGCAGAATAGAATAGGACAGAATAGAAAATAGCAGAGTGTATCACCTGTAGTGAGGGTAAATATTATTTCACAAAACTTGAGATATGTGTGTATAGATCATGATGTAATACAGATTTCTTACTGTGAGTTCTGATCAGTGAAAATTGGGAAGCTGCTGCTTAGGTGATAGGACTCTAGTTGGAGCCATGCAGCTAAAGAAGCAGCAGGGCTTCCCCGGAAGAGAACTCCAAGGAAGAGAAGAAACAGGGGAATCTCACCACTAAGGGGCAGACTCTGGAGGAAAGATGAAGGCTGTGGAGGGTGAGCAAGCCTTTGTTGCAGACCCATGGGAGCGGGGGGAGAGTTAGGAACGGCTGCTGGAGACTGCAGTTCTCCATAATTTGGGAGCTAGTCCACCACCATCTTACCTTGCAGTGTCCCTACTAGCCCAGTACTAAATCCCGAAATGGTATCACTAAGCAGCCATTCCTTGATCCGGTATTTGGGGAGCCAGTCCAAGATGGGCAGGAGAGTCTTCAGCACACCAAGGGTTCTCTTTCTTGAACAACTGTCAAAAGGCAAGAAAACTGGACTTCCAATCCAATCTGCGTCACAGCCCACTGCAAATCACAAAGTTTTGAACTGAACTCTGCTAATGTTTCTAACTATTTAGAAAAAAGGATAGAAACTGCATGGAAAATACTAACAGTGAAGTGCTTACCATGTCTTTGGCAAGAACTCTATTTACCCTTTTAAATGCACTGTACTAGAAAACACAGGATTAAGTGTTCCCTCCCCTCTCCCACCTTCTTAATCCTCTGAGAAAATATCCCTAAGCAAGAACCCATTTTCTGGTCCAGCCCCAGATTGATCAATGTAGGGTCTTTAAATGGAGATTAATTTTTGGACTTCTAACCCAGGCACTTTCTTCTTTTTCTCTTTTTCTTTCAAGAAACATAAACAAACTCTATATATTTTGGCAATAGGAGCTTGGAGCCAGTTTTTACAACCCTTAACATGATGAATCTATATCTTTCTGCACCTTGCTATCTAGTTTTTAAAATTCAACAACCTATAGGTAAAAGAAGAAACATATTAAAAGTAGGTGAACACTATTTGACTCCTGATTCAAATAAATTATTTTAAAAATTATATTTATGAGACAATTTGAAATTTTGGACTTAATTTTTTATATTAAGGAATTTTTAAATTTTTGTGTGTGATAATGGAATTGTGGTTGTATTTTTTGAGTGTCCCTAAAGATATATACAGACAAAATAAAAAACAAAAAACCAAAAAGAAACACCATATGGGACTTATATTAAAAAAAAAAAGTCGAGCGGGGCAAGTATGTGGTGAAACAAGATTAACTTTGAGGTGATCATCTTTGAAGCTGGGTGATGGGTAAAAACATGGGAGGGGGTTCATTACACTACTATGCCTACTTTTGAATGTGTTTGAAATGTTTTATAATAAAAGATTTTTTAACAGAAAGAAAATCTAGCAGCGCTGATAGTTCCCTTTTTGTTTGTGATATCTACTTACGGGTGTCCCGTTTGGGTTTAGAGATTGATGGAGGTTCTTCTCGGGGGGCCCTACTGCCTGACAGTGGACAGCTTGGAGCACAACGCGCTCCGTGTTCTCGCCTTCACTTCGTGTCTCTGAGTGGCATCCGTCCTAGATGAGTTTGGGGCTTTCAAGGATTCTTGGTCAGGTGACGGGTTACCCATCACCTCTCTATAATCGAGCACCTTGCTCTCCCTCTCTCCTCAGCCTAGCCTTCACGAGAAGGCCGTAGGGACCCTCTGTACCCCAAGGCGCACTCCAGGTGCCCTCAAGAGAGGAAAAGGAGATGCGGCTCCCCGAACACACCCTCTCCAAAGATGAGTTTCCGAGACTAGGGTCGATTCGGGCCGAGAAGGATAGAGCCACTCTCCCACCGGGAAGGCCAGAGTCCGTGAGCTGACCGAAGCCGGGTCGACCCTGCAGGGCGGCGCAGCATCCCACACTCCGCCGCCGGGCACGCCCGCGGGTCGGCGCGCCCGGATTCCCGGCTTCACTGAGCCCCGCGCCCCGCCCGCCGCGGCTGCTACCTGCAGCCCTTGGCCAGGCTCTCCCGCAGCGTCTTGCGCTCCTGCAGGCGCCGCTCGTACTGCTGCTGGAAGGCGAGCTCGCTGTAGACCGGCCGCGACACCACGTAGCTGCAGCTGTACTCGGGGAGCGGCGGCGGCTCCAACCTGCCGCCCGGCGCTGCCATGACCTGCGAGGCGGAGGACGACGAGGAGGGAGGAGATGGAACGAGGGAAGAGAAGAGGAGGTGAAGACCGCCCGTTAGCCGCCCCCGGCCGGCCCCACCTGTTGCAGCCGATCCCCGAGACCCTGGTCCGCGCGCTGCCGCCCCCTGCGCCCGGGCCCGCCGTCCCCGGGCGCGCACCTGCAGCCTGCAGGGGGCCCTGAGGACCTCTGGGTCCCGAGCCTGCACCTGCCGCCTGGCGCAACCGGACTTTAATAAGAGAGTGAGCCCGGCGCTGGGGGGCGGCGGGAGCCCGACCCAGTCCCCTCAGATGGGCAGCCAGGGCGCTGTCCGCGTCCTGAAATCTCCCGAAACCCGGGCTGGGGCCCGCGGCGCGCAGGGGGCAGGAAGGGGGACCCTGTGAACGTCCCTCTCTCCCCGCATCCAACCCAGGGCGCAGCACCAGGCGCGCCCTGGGAAAGAAGCACAACCCCCGGGGCCGGGCGTGGAACCCTCAGGCCATGCTCCCCGGGTCCCGAGGCTGCGCGCGCGCTGCAGGCAAATTCCAGCAGCCGGGCGCGCTCTCCCGGGGACAGAACTTTGGGCGGGTGAGCAGGTCTCACCCCTCGGCCTGTTTTCCTAGCTTCCTTCTCGCACTCAGCTTCTCAGAAAGAAGGCTGTACCGTCCCCTGCCCGGCGGCTCTGTGTCACCCCACCCCCTCCACTAGTCCCATACCCAACCAGCGGTGCCTCCCCGGGAGTTAAGCCAGGGCGGGGTGGGGTGCGCTGCATCTTCAGCGACGATCTCACCTGCTTCGGCTCAAGTCCGGCCCGGAATGCCCCCGGGACAGCCGTTCCGCCGCCTTTATAGCGCTCGCAGAAGGCAGTGAGACGTTTTATTTATGGAGCAACAGAGACACCTTAGTCCAAAAGAGGGACACACAGGCAGCGGTCTTTTCCCCACCTATCCTACCGGGAAAAAAAAAAAATCCTACCCCTCCCGAATTCTTTCCCTTTCCCGAACCAGGAAGGCTAAGAATCTTACTGGCTGTCACCCAGGGGCCACCCGAATCCTCACTCGCGCCCTAATTACTAACGTGGGTTACGAGGTCAGGGGCGAAAAGCCCCTGGGGAGTTTGTTACGGAGAGCAGAGCCCAGCGTGGAAGAAGAGGTCAGCTATTGCAGGGAACGCTGGCCTTGACCCCTAGGTTGTATGAATCCGGAAGCTCCAAGGTCTGGCACGCAGCTCTCACACCAGGTGGAGAGGAGGAAAGGAGCAGTGGCCAGTTTTGCATTTAATAAGACTTTGGATTTCTAGAAAGTCTTTCTTTAGAAGTACCCAGTGGGTGGTGGTTATAGAGAGTTCATAATTTACTCGTAAATGTTAGATACGAACTTTTCTGTGTTTGTGTGTATTTCACTTCACAATCAAAATCAAGTGCCCAGGTGGCCCCTTTTCTTACCTGACTGACTCTGGTTCTTTTGATGTTTCTTCTCGTTCATCTGAACAGTCAAGGAGGGAATAAACTGGACTAAACAGGAATCAAGACTAGAAGAGAGAGAGTGGGGAGTCTGATGTATCCTACTTAATCAGTGTTTTGTCTTCTGCTGGGATGAATCTTGCTAAAACTGACTAATACGGGTTAAGATGAAGGGAAGGAGAGTTTGGTAAACAGGAAGATTCTCTCCTGATTATCAGTAAATGCAGAACAGCCTCTAAAATATGGACCTTCTGGACACCAGCCTTCAGTTACCCAGCTGGAAAATTCAGACAATGACCATTCTATAAGCAACAGGAAACAGAATCCTCACAGGAGAACCCTAGTGTAAATGCCCTGAAATTGTATTCAACATGGTGTGGTGAACATGTGTGTGTTTTTCTGAGGGATGAATGAGTCAACAGCTTTCAACAGATCTTCCAAAGCTTACTTGACCATTATTAAGGTTAAGAACCCTTGAAGAAAGGACCTGAAAAGAAATCCAAGGACTTCCCTCGCCGTCCCTTGCTTAAGACTGTGCTTTCAATGCAGGGGACATGGGTTCGATCCCTGGTTGGGGAATTAAGATCCCACATGCTGTGCAGCCAAAAAAAAAAAAATCCAGGTCATGAAGTTTAGAACTTTTATCCATCTGCAGAGGAGAATACATACATATATATATATGTGTAGTTCATATGTAGTTCTAGAGACATTTTTAGTTATCATACTGGGGGGATGCTACTGAGATGTAGTGGAAAGAGGCCAGGGATGCTACTAAACAACCTACAATGAAGTTTTCAGTCCCTCTAAGTTTCTGTATGTTATTCGAATGTACATTTATTAATAAGTTGTTATGTGTACTAAATATATGCGTCTCTCTCCATATATACAGTACCCTGAAATAGAGGCAAGTTTTTTAAAGTAGATTCTGAATGTCCCCACTTATCACACCCCCACACACACCTTCAACGTCCAGTTAAAACACTGTCTCAAGCATGAACAGTGCTTGAGTCTCTCAGAATTAATCCAGTTACTTCTCTGGATTGTCTTGGCACCTTATCTGGGCCTCTCTCTCTTTAAGACACCTCTCACTATCTACCTTAGTATCATAATTTGATTTACATACAGGTCTTATCTCCCTCACTAGACAAAAACTTCTTGAGGGCAAGCACAATGTCTCCCTCCAGTCATTATTTCCTTCTATAATGTTTTCTAAAAAGATATAGCTATAGCCCAAACATAGTTTTTTTTAAAAAAACTAAAAATTATGCTGTATATTGGTCTACAACTTTTTTTTTTTTCAGTTAAGGCTATGTTAGGAATATTTTTCCAGGTGAATATATATGGATTTTTCTTAACTTTTTAAATAGCTGCCTAAGATTTCATACTATAACTCAGTTCCACGGTAACTCACCTAGACGATTCACAATTCTTTACTGATTTAATTTGGAGGCATTCTGTGCAAATATAATCTGTTTCTCATTCTGATAGGCATTTCTGCTCCCTGTCACTTGCTATTTTGAACATTTTTAGTCTAGTCCAGTCAGCTCTGTGGACCACTTTGTATCACAACTTGGTGATCATATGGTGATGGTAGCAATTCAAAGGAACAGGGAGTGGGTTAGAGGTCTCAGAAGGACAGAGGAGAAAAGAAGCTATCAAATAACACTAGGAGTCAATGGTGTAACTTCCCCTGGAGAATAGACAGAATTCTTTGAACTGCATCTTTCTAGATAAGGATTCGGTTTAACAATTATCGCATTATAATAAGACTTACATGTACCTGGATGAATATATTGCCTTTTTTTTTTCTTTCTGTTAAATGTATTTTCTTTTTCTTTCTTTTTTTTTTTTTTTTTTGCGGTACGCGGGCATCTCACTGTTGTGGCCTCTCCCGTTGCAGAGCACAGGCTCCGGACGCTCAGGCTCAGCGGCCATGGCTCACGGGCCCAGCTTTTCCGCGGCATGTGGGATCTTCCCGGACCAGGGCACGAACCCGCGTCCCCTGCATCGGCAGGCGGACTCTCAACCACTGCGCCACCAGGGAAGCCCTAAATGCTTTTTCTACTGAAGAAATAAATGGTGCATGGACAGAATGGCATCTCCCTTACAGGTTTCTATAAAAGTATAGAACTGCTTTTCTCACTAGTCTGAATTTGGCCATCCTTTAAAAATAGAAACGAGTAGGAGGTGATAACAGCTGACTCTCCCCACCCAATTTACTTGTTATATTAAACACCTCAAATTACTCACTTTAGAAATCAAGCTTCACCTGTTTCACATAGAGGTGGGTGGTTCTTATTTACCAGAATTTAATCATTTCCAGGACTTCTTTCCAAAGAGATAGATGTGTCACTTCAAAAAGAAATGTCAGACAATATTATTGTTACCTTCCAGCACTTATTTAGCAGTTAATGCTGATTAAAATGCATTTCCTTATTTATATCCTTTAGGCATTTGGAGTGTAAGACAAAGTCCACTATTAGATCTGCACACTCACTTATTTGTTCATTCATTCATTCACTCATTCATTCATTCATTCAAGGACTTATTAAGAATTTATGAGTGTTGGCCATGATACAGTGATGAACAAAGAAGCATGAACCCTGGTCTCATACCTGTAGGTGCAGCAAACATTCACTACATGGTCACAAGTTGTATATTATATTTCACCGATTCTAAAATGCAGATTTTTCACATTTTATCAGGACTCATAATTGATGGTGTGTTATATTTCAATTGGCAGCATTTTTTTCTTTCTTAGTGTGGTTCATAAAATAATTGTGAGTTTTACAATTAATGGCATAATAGAATTGATGAAATATGAATATATATAAAATCATAAGTGTAGCTATATATTTGAGTGATTTCGTGTGTTACAAGAATGATTTAATTGAGTCCTCTGTTTATTTAAATTGAGAGAATTCAGTCTTGCTACCTTCTTCTGGTCTAGAGGGCAAATTTTACTTAGTTTCTTTTTCGTCTTTTTTTTTTTTTCCAACTTAAAAATTTCTCTAATCAGTAGAATTGCAAAATAACAGAAATATGCAAATAATGCCCAAAAAGTCTGTTTTTAAAAGCAACCTAGATTCTGATTTTTATCATTTTCTACCTTTGAACTGTAATGTTTGTACCTTATTTCTTGCTTTTTTTTTTTTAAATGTAGAATTGAATTGAATCACTTCTGTTTGGAGGCAGCATTTGACTCACTGTTAACATTTCAAACAGAAACACTGTCTACTTTTCACGTTGACATTGATGAAAAACCAATTGCCAGGGAAAGTCATTTTCCCTGGGAATTTCAACTCTGATCTGTGAGCTTTATTTTTATTATGTTTGTTAATTTTCTCAAGACAATAGATGCTAAGTTTCTGCCATATTTAAACAAAAAGATAACTTTAACTTTCTCTTTTTCTGATCTCTCCTCTGAAAACTGATTTGGCTTATTTTCAGTAAGCATACAGTTTTGTACTCTATTGTTTTTCCCCCCTCTCCAGATATAAGATCTGCTCCTTAAAGACAGAAATAATATGTTATATGTCTCTTATGGTATTAAAAAATTAAATATGTCTGTAGTGAACAAGTTGGAAAATATATTAAAATTGAAATAGCAATCATTTCTTATCACCCACATAATCTCTGCTAAGCTTTTTGCTTATTTCCTTCTTGTTTTTTTTTTCTATGCACACAAATGTATATATTTCAAGCAAGGAAGAGTATAATGCTAGTCTTGTTTTGCAACTCTACACAATACCTTGGCAAATTATGACAATGTAATAGATACTGGAGAAATACTTGTCAAATTATTGATTGCTTTATCATTTAATGATGGGATCTTGAGAAATCATTGCCTCTTGAGGAATGAAACTTGTTTTAAAAGATGAGAATTTATTCTTTTTTAAGAAAATCACTAAACAAAAGAATTCTTTCCAAACATGTGTGGCAGTCCATTACAATTTCAGGCAACTTTCAGTGTCAATAAATATTCATTTTTATATAGTATAATTCAGTAAATGTTTCAGATAGTAGAGGAAAAACCACATTCTTTAATATAAATCCAAATTTGATATTGTCTTAGTAAAATTATCTCTCATGAGATAAATGAAATAATGGCACTTTTTTAAGGCAAATTGTAATTTGAGGGCCCACCCAACTATCTTATTACTTAAATGTATTTAACTTTAAAAAAAATTTTTAAGGTCTTTTTTTTTCCCTTTTTTTAAAACATTGAAGTATAGTTGATTTACAATGCTGTGTTAGTTTCAGGTATACAGCAAGGTGATTCAGTTATATATATATATATATATATATATGTACTTTTTCAGATTCTTTTCCCATATAGGTTGTTCCAAATATTGAATATAGCTCCCTGTGCTATATAGTACGCCCTTGTTGGTTATCTATTTTATATATAATGCTGTGTATATGTTAATCCCAAACTCCTAATTTATCCCTCTCCCTACCTTTTCCCCTTTGGTAACCATAAGTTTGTCTTCTATGTCTGTGAGCCTATTTCTGTTTTGTAAATAAGTTCATTTGTATCATATTTTAGATTTCACATATAAGTGATATATGATATTTGTCTTTCTCTGACTTACTTCACTTAGTATGGTAATCTCTAGGTCCATCCATGTTGCTGCAAATGGCATTATTTTATTCCTTTTATGGCTAATATTCCATTTTATA